ACAAACAGAAAATTAAATTTCAAACAGCGGTAAACTAAGGTGCGCTCCATCTGCTTCTCCAATCTGATCATCATCCTCAGTAGGTGCTCCACCGCATCTGCATTAGCAGCTCCACTCCCCCAAACTTAGAAGCCTGGCCCCCAGGCCAACCAGTATATGCCTGAAAGTCCTAGTAACCAAAAATGGTGAAGGAGTATAATCATGAAAGAACATGGTGAGCATAACAATTAAACACAGTGATGACCATGCATTTATAGAAAAAAATGAAGAACATCCTTAGACCAAAATTAATCACAACACACAAACATAATGAATCATGCTTGAAAATGGACAAATATGGGTTGGCAGGAGGGTGTGCGCCCGGCGCATCACAGGCGTGCCGGGCTTGCTATCAGTAAAAATTATAGAGGTTTTAACTCTGATATCGCGCCGGGCGTGACTGATGTCGCGCTGGGCGTGACTTGTGAAGTCCCACATCGGCTAGTAAGGTGAACGAAGCATGCCATATATATGGGTGTGGATACCTTACTCTAGAGGACGCGTTTAGGGATGCCATGAGGGCATTGCCTAGAACAAAACCCATTGTGGGACAATATCTGGCCATGTGGGGTCGCTGCGCTACTCTGATGGGGTTGGCAGGACTTGCCTTGGAGGACGCGTTTTGGGGTGGTGTTGGCCATTCCCGAGAACAAATCCGTGAGGCCGTGGGCCAAAGCGGACAATATCCTCATGCGGGTTGCTTGGGCTGTTACATGACTAATATTGTGCTGGGCGCAATTGATATTGCGCCCGGCGTGCTGGTTCCAGAGACCATAATTCGAGTGTCGCGTCGGGCGCGAGGTGAAGTGCGCCCGGCGCATAACCATTGATGTGGTCAGTTTTGCCTAAATTTTTCCTTGAAAGAAGGCCTTATAACCACCCAGAACCAGAGTTACCTTATTTCTCACACTCCAAACAAAATATACCCTATATTTACTCATTCAAACCCGATTCAAACACTTAACAATTAACACAAACACACATAACATAAACAACATATAAACAAAACAAGTCACAAATAGCTATAAATACTAAATTGTCATTCTAATCCCCGGCAACGGCGCCAAAAACTTGCTGAGAATTCCGTTGAAGTACACATCAACGGACTCAGACACGGCAAGTGTACCGGTCGTACAAGTAGTAAAAATATCGTATCCATAGGGATTAGAAGGTAAAATAAGCATTCATTGGCTACTTGTGACTTGAGAACAATTCCAATTTATATGAATATGAATTAAAGAACAAAACTACTGGAATTGTTAAAAACACACATAATTGAATTAGAATGGAAATGGGGTAAGAAATGGCAAAATGGAAACTTGAGGTTGTGGGGATTAGACTTCACCAAACAACATACTTTTGAATCCTAGAGCTCTTGTTACATTCATTGTTCAGTCAACCATAAATTTACTCAGACCTAATCCCTTAGAGAAAGAGCCTAGGTGCAAATATTGAATATCAATCCCTTGAGTACCCAATACCTACACCCGCATTACCGATTAGGATTTTAAGACTACTAATGGGTCATGCCCTATCCCTAGGTACAATCTCCACTAGGCATATGTTCAGAACTAGTTTCAATAATATTTCCCAATAGTCATTGAAACCTTAAATCATGCAAAGGGTGATCAAGTCAAAGCAAGCATTAGGTATAGAAACATACACGACAAAGAGTGAAACAACACACATATATATCATTAAACACAAAGGATTACAAAAGAGTATGTTGGTTACATCAAAACCCCAATACAGAGGATAGAACCACTAAAAACAATGAGGGAAAAACTAAAATAGAGGTGGAAGAGGAAGTGAAGAACCGAAGGAATGATCCACCATGGCCGTTCCCAAGCTCTAGGAATTCCTTCCGCAGCTCCTGGAGGCGCCCCTGAGCGAATGAGGGAGAAAACCCTCGAAATTTTCCATTTATACGACCCTGGGGAGTCAGATTAGGGTTATCGCGCCCGACACGGTACACTTCGCGCCCGGCGCGGGCTTCCTCTGATGCTCAATGTGCTCTTGGCCTTGAATTGCGCCCGACGTGGTTAACACTGCGCCCGGCGTGAGGCTTCCAAAGGCTGATAGAACTCTATTTTATGCCCGCCCGGCGCGGTTAACACGGCGCCCGGCGCGGTTGCCTTCTCTGCTCCTTAATTCTTTGGATTTTTCCACTCCTATGGCCTTTTTATCCTCAATTCTCTACCTGAATACCTGCATACACAAATTAAAACAAGTAGAGAACAATTATAATGTAATGGTACCAAGAATGGAAGGAATTGATCATTAAATCTTGTATAAAAACAAGTATAATTTAGGCTTAACAATATATATAAATGTTTAAATATAATATGGCATGAGTATATGTTCATATGTGTATGATTATTGATCATAATGGTGAGTATACCATGTATGATGTATGATACATTATTGCATGTGATGTCTTATGACATGTGTATGATTGTTGATCATAATGGTGGGCAGGCCATGTATGATGTATGATGCATAATTGCATATGATGCCTTATGGCATGAGTGTAGCCTAGGACTTGAAAAGAGAAAAAATATTTTCGAACTGGAAGAGCTCACATAGAGTCTCTTGAGAGTGGTGCTTGGATAGGCCACTGATATATGAGAGTGGTGTTAAAGGAGACCACTGGATTTGGGAAAGTGGTGCTCAGATAGGCCACTGGGTTGGGTGAGTCTCCTATAAGTCCTTAACTAGTGTTGGAGCGGGGTATGAGGTCGAGGATTATTCCCTTAACTAAGTACTCGGGAAGGTTGCGTGGATCCTTACGGATAGTCGGTGGGCTAACTCCACAATTGACTTGGTTATGCATGCCAAGGTTGGGTAAGCCCGTACCAGCTGTGCTATACTTGACGGTAGATCTGGACTTCCAATTGTGTAAGTGACATCATTCGAGTAAACCCGAGTGGGGATTATATCCTGTTTAGCTATAACTGAGCGGGCGCATTGGGCGTGAAAACGGTTGGGGTGGTTTCAGTAGGATGGGATGTCACTTATACAACTCTATTGTTAGGGAGATCTCCTAGGTGTATGCATGACGATGCATTAGATGATTGATATGCATTGATATCTGTCATGAGATGCATTTATTGCATGATTATTAGTATGATGAAGTGTGGTGTTTGACTTCGTGACTGGTGGATTGTATTTTATGCATGAGTAGTGTTGGATAGAGTGTATGGTGTGACTCTATGAACATGATTGATAGTTGGATGATGTGTAGTATAGATTTTATTTTGTACTTGTATAATTGGTTTTGAACTTTAGCTTACCCTTCTGTTTCCATGTGGTGGAAATGGGATGATCATACTTGATGTGGGAGCAGGTCAGGGCTAGCTTGGAGTTGAGGTGTCCGCTGTGAGATGGGGAGTTTTGATCCTCATGTTAGAGTTATTATTTTGGATAACAATTTTGTCTATGCTTGACCGGTACTAGGAGAATATCATTTTTGGGATGACGGTATATATATGGTGTTTTATTTTATAACCAAAAACTTAGTTATTTTCATTCTTATTTATACCTGAGTTATCCAACTTAATATTTCTCTTAGTTCACTAATAGTAGTGTAATTTCACTAAGTGTAGAGACCATGACGGGTCGTTACACATACATTTTGTAAATAATTATATTCATACTAGATATCTTAACATAGACATTTTTATTATATAAAAAAAATAGATATTGTAATAATATATGAAGAAGATACTCTATTTTAGATTTGTTTATCTTTTGTATAAGAGTGTTCTATTAGTAAACTATTACGCATTCCTTTAAGGATAATTGTCTCTAGAAAAATCTCTTGATTGTCTTTGCACTCTTACCTCCTTTATCATTAAGTGATTATTTAAGTGTTTTAGTTGGTGTTTCAAGCTATGTTTCCTATTAACAATGAAGCTTATTCCCAAACACTCAACATTTATTCATGTTGTTTTTAGGTAATATCTAGTTTATAGAGTTTGTTTTAATTTGGTACCACTCTCACGACCAACAATAAAATAGTATTTTACCTTTAGATGTTTTATTAACTATCATGTCTCAATGCACTTTGATTAATTTTTTTAAATCAATCAGTTAAAACATCTACTCAATTCCATATAAGCTTCATCCTAGTCATAGATAAATCACCTAGGTTGAGGTCCATAAACAATGACAATTATTCTATGAAGACCCACTTTCACTCCGATGGTTGAATATAATTACACCATGTTGTATTTTTTTTTTTACAAATTTATATTTAAGAATAAAATAAGAAAAATACATGTATAAAATATTTTTGACCTCTTTAAAAATTATAACTGCTCACTACTTTTTGTCAAAATATTAATTTATTTTATTTTTCATAGAGATGTATAGTGTTTTTTTTCTTATACTAATATATATAAAAGTGTTTAATTAAAATATAGTTTCAAAAATAAATTTAACTTTTTTATTATAATTGATTTTTTTTTAATTTAATCGATTATAAAATACTAAAATCGATTTAAACTTTTAGTGTAAAAATAGTGACTTTTATCAAGTTATAAAATGGAAGTTTAATTTATTAAATTTTAAGTGGAGGTATTTTATTATTTCTATTTAAAATGAAGAATCCCACAAATTTTCTATTTTTTACTTTTATTTTGTCTCAACCAAACATGCATATTTTATATTTCTTACACATGTCTTACCCATTTTCAAGATACAGATGAAGTGTTATGAAATGTTTGGGAGGAAGAAAAATTAGCTGCAAAACAGTAAAAAAAAGAAAAGTAAATTTTAATTATTTTAAAATGTCAAAATAAACGGATACGAAAAGTAAAAATAACAGTGTAAATAGCACGGGTCTTATCTAGACAGGCTTGTTTGTTGGGCTTGAAATTAGAGCCCAAAATTCATTCTCGGCAGGAACGACATCGTTTTATATCAGGGAGGTTCTATTCAAGTTGAAGCATCAACCCGAAAGGAAAACACCTTTGTGACTGCGTCTTTTCTTCAAACACCGCCTTCACTTACGACGGTTCTCTCGCCGCCAGAACCACCGCATTCCGGTTTCCGACCTCACACCGTCATCCCCTGCTTCCGTTTTAATTCCATAAACTCATCTCGCCTCTAGCTCCTGATTAACGCCCATTGCACCTGTAAGCACGAACTCGCAACACATTCATATAGCGCTTCTGTTGCCACTAACCTGTCGTTAACCGAAAGGTTACGAGTTTGGGAATTGTAAGCGTTTTGCGAGCAAAATCCCTTTCTCCGAATATCGCGTTGAAGTTACGTTCGTTCGGGGTTTTTGCGAATTCTCTGAACTCATGGCCGCATGGTCTTCTAGAAAGTTACTGAGAGATGTTCTGCTAAAAAAGGCAGCGTCGAATCAACCTCCCGGCGTCAGATGTTTTTCTTCTGCGCCGCAAAGTGCTCCTAAGATCGGTTACTATTCCAAGAAAGTGCGTATACATGGTGTTTGAAATTATGCAGTGTCGTTGATTCATTTTGTGGTTTGAAGATGGTCATTTCATTTAGCATGGAATGTGGTTTCTCGTCTTAATGGATTGAAAGATCTTAGTGAATATGCAATGTTTGTGTTATGTGATTAAGTTTGTTGCTTACTCGTGCATGTATGTTGTGATTTATTTGGTTTGTGCAGTTTACCTACATTGATTACTTTGAATTGTAGGGAAGGTTGTTGACAGGAGCCACCATAGGTCTACTTATAGCCGGTGGAGCTTATGTGAGTACTGTGGATGAAGCTACTTTCTGGTACTTCATTTGGGAGTTTGATCGTTGTATGCAATTTGTTTTGTATTTCTAATTATGCATTTGATGTACTATATTACTTCTTTTTCATATGAGGGGGAAAAAAAGAAAGAAAACTCTGCCTTCCATGCTCTGATGCTTTAACTCTGAGTCAGCTGTGGATGTATTATTATACAACACAAATTTTAAGTGATTTCACAAGAAAAGAAAAATGATTGATTTGAAAGTGAAGTACATGCCTTGGAAATGAATGATCCAAATTTGGAGTTATATTTCTTTTGCAGTGGATGGCTATTCTCGGCGACAAAACTTGTGAATCCTTTTTTTGCTTTGTTGGATCCCGAGTTTGCACACAACCTGGGTGTCTCAGCTGCAGCTCGTGGTTGGGTTCCTAGAGAGAAGAGGCCCGACCCATCAATTTTGGGGCTAGAAGTTTGGGGAAGAAAATTCTCCAACCCAGTAGGACTTGCTGCTGGCTTTGATAAAAACGCTGAGGCTGTTGATGGTTTGCTTGCTTTGGGCTTTGGCTTTGTGGAGGTAGGCTCTGTTACTCCTGTCCCCCAGGATGGCAATCCAAAGCCTCGTATCTTCAAGTTGCGAAAAGAAGGGTAAGAGTTTATATTTTTGTTTCTTTGTTCCTTTGATCTTCTGCTTCTGCTTCTGATCAATAGATTGAATTGATTTTATATTTTCTTTTTAAATTTTCTAAGCACTCCTATACATTGCAGAAGGTTGTTGATGCTATAAGAATAATAAGATGGACTTTTAAAAAGTTTGCTTATGCTACCGACATTGATCTAAGACTGATCAATTTAATGTGCAGTGCTGTAATAAATAGATGTGGCTTTAATAGTGAGGGAATTGTTGCTGTTGCTAAGCGGCTGGGTGCTCAGCATGGTAAGAGGAAACTAGATGAAACTTCAAGCTCTACAGCTTCTTCCAATAACGAAGTCAAACATGGTGGAAAAGCTGGCCCTGGCATCCTTGGTGTCAATCTTGGAAAGAACAAGACAAGTGAAGATGCTGCAGCAGACTACGTTCAAGGAGTTCATACATTGTCCCAATATGCTGATTACTTGGTGAATAATCTTCTCTTATACATTCCTTTTATAGAAAAGATAGAAAACCTTGTATACTGTAACTTATCTTGTTATGATTATGTACAGATTGTGAATAAACTATACTCCTTTCATGTTTAAACTCTAACATGCTGGTAACTTTCTTCATGCAATTAGATAGGTGCACAAAAAGGTAGTTAGTGACCTTTCCTTTATTGTTGGGCTTGGCATGTATGTCATGCATTTTTTTTTTTGTTTTTTTTTTAATGATTGGATCCCTTGGCAACTTGTGTCTTGAGCTTGTATATACTCTTTAGATATTAACAATGAACTTTTACAAAGTTTGTGGTTCATCATCATTCATTATCTTGATTATGTGTAATTGCATATAGAAGCTAACTAATTGAAAGATTAGTCTTAGGTACAAAAAAAATATTACTATGGAGTAGATGTATGGTTGCATATAATAGCTAAAGAAACCCAAGATTTATGCCCAGGATCATTGTCTTTTCTGCCTGCTTAAATCTCCTGGTCTTTACCAACAGTCAACATTGGTTAGTATAAGTGATAACGACTTCTGTCCCTTAATCAAGTTGCTCAATGTTCGAATCCTAACTCTGAGTATGAATAAATTATGTTAGGAGAGAAATACCTACCTCGTGTTTACTCACGGTCCTCAACAGAGGTCAATCATCACTTTTGACAGTGGATACTTTATATCAATATCATAGTCATCCAAAAACAAATCTCCCGTCTCTATCAAGGGACAAACATCCATTGCTATTAAAGTAGGTTTGAATGTTTGTTTTTATTAATGTGCCTAACATGCCTCTTCTCACTAAAATCCTATGGACTTGGAGAATGGAAGAAGCACAAACCCATAATATTTGCTAAAACCATTATTCAATTTATTCTATATTTGGTAGGGGAAGGAAATAGAGGGAGTAAAAGTAGGTAGATGTGAACAAAAGAGAAGAGAAATCATGTGGAAATAGGTGTGCTTGGTTCAAGAGAAATATTAAAGAGATTTAAAAAAAAAAAAAAAGCAAAATAATTGATTATGTTGTGACATAGTTTGCCTTCTTTGCATTTTAGCGCTGTTTTGAAAAGAAATAAAAACTCAACAGGTTCCCCAATTTCTTTTCCCTTGTCTCTTCCTTCCCTCCCTCTTTCTTTTCTTGTCCATCAAGGATTTAGCTCTTGATGTCTTTGTCAAAGACCCTCTTCAACCATTTGAAGAAACCTACTTGCATAAGAGTCTAATCTGACTCACAAGAAAATCTAATGATCATTTTTGTTAATATGTCTAACACTTCTAAATTCCCAAGTAATAACTGAATAAAAATGTTTTGAAGATATTGTTGGTCTTCCAATCATGTCCTGCATTAACTAGGGGACAAGAATCAACTATAGTCTCTCAATTGTAGGAACCTTTGATTTTAGATAGCTAGACAAGAAAAAAATGGTAAAATATCATAGTCCACTTTAGCCAACTGAATACAATTTACTGTGTTTACAAAACCAGTCAATGTAAATGCTCCAGTTTATTTATTTATTTATTTATTTTTTTTACGTAAGTTCATTACAAAGAAAGGAAATAATGGAAACTCTGCGATGGGAAGGGTTTCACATCCTCCAAATTCCACCCAAACCTTTAACCAGATCATGATGTCAGTAATGTGATTGATCATCCAAACTGAAGGATTATGTTTAGGTTGTCTTTGATGTTCAACAAATGATTTTTTCAAGGATGTTGTCTTCCCCATTGCCAATTCCCTGGTTTGGAAAAGTGATAAAAGCTCGAGTGGGAGAGGCTAATGGATGATGGGGAAATCTCTTAGGGATTGGATATCATCGATAGGGAAACAAAAGTACAAGCTTGTATAGAAATAGATATCAAAAAACTCTGACACAGGGATTCCAATTATTTTTTTAAGACATGTTTAATGTTCTTTTCTGTTTAATGTTTTTAATATCCTTTTCTAGGTGATTAATGTTTCATCACCCAATACCCCTGGTTTGCGCATGCTTCAAGGAAGAAAGCAATTGAAGGATCTAGTGAAGAAGGTAAAACTTGGAACCAGAATGTGAAGGTTTCTCCATGTGTTTCTCATGTTGCATACTTGAGAGATTGACTCTACCAAAATTTATCTTTTTCTGAAGGTTCAAGCTGCCCGAGATGAAATGCAATGGGGTGAGGAGGGCCCACCTCCGTTGCTGGTAAAAATTGCTCCAGATTTGTCAAAAGAAGACCTTGAGGATATTGCTGCAGTAAGCATAAGCACGTTAATGTTTTCCTTCTATCTTTATAATCTCAGATGCTCTATAACAGTTTCTGCTTTGATTATAGGTTGCCTTGGCTCTTCATTTGGATGGGCTGGTATCTCTGCTCCTTCACTAATTTCAAATTGTAGCCACAGCAGGGACTTAAAACTTTCTGATTGCACAATCTTCACTTCATTAACTCTTTATTTATTTGTTATTTGAAGATTATATCAAACACAACCATTTCAAGACCAGATCCTGTCAGTAGAAATCCATTGGCTTCAGAAACTGGTGGTTTGAGTGGGAAGCCCCTCTTCAATCTCTCTACCAACATCTTGAAGGAGATGTATATCTTGACAAGGGTACGTCTGTTGGTTTTACAGTGTTATTTGTAAACCCTACCAACATAGAGTTGATATGTTCATGCAATCCCCTGTCTCCAGTGCACGCCATTACTCTGGATTATGCAAGCAATATAGTATTCGTGGATGCTAATTATTCACTTATAAGCACTTATTTCCAGCTGCCACAGAAAATACTGAGAACCTGATCAAGTCTTAAAATTCCTTTTGCTATTAATTATAGATTTAGCATGTCTGTACTAGCACATAATTTGTGGTTACTTGGAGTAAATGTTGGAGGCAACCACTTCATTCCTTGATGCGAAATTTAATAATATATGATCTGCAAATACCTTAGGCTGTGACAAGCACTTGGCTGCATTCTGTGCTATACAGTATGGCATCCCATTGATTTGTTTTCACTCTTCCCTATGCAGTTACTGTTTGCTATTTTCCTGTTTAGCTGTCTTACCAGTTCACGCTAAAATTATGTGCTATTATATTTTGTTCTCTAATTCCTTTTTTCTATTTTTGGGAAGAGAGGGGCTTGAGCTGTTCTTGGTTGTGCTTTGCTTATATATGTTAATAACACTTAACAACTTAGCACTGTCATTTCATGCATATCAGGGCAGGATTCCTTTGATTGGCTGTGGGGGCATTAGCAGGTTAAATACCAGTTCCTTCACTCAATCGTTAGCTTAGTTGATTTCTAGCTCTTTACAGTATATATGGTTTTTATGATTTTAAAAGAAAATAATTTGTCTGAGCTTTCTATATTAATTTAGTGGGGAAGATGCATATAAGAAAATACGAGCTGGAGCAACTCTAGTACAGCTCTATACTGCTTTCGCTTATGGAGGACCTGCACTTATTCCTCAGATAAAGGTATGCACCAAAATTCTCATGCTCAAGATATGGTTGATGACTCAAATCAATTAGTGTATGCACCAAAATTCTCATTCTCGTCCAATTGGTTTTAGGCTGAATTAGCTTCATGCTTGGAAAGAGATGGTTTCAAATCCATTGTTGACGCAATTGGTGCAGATTGTAGATGACTTTTATCCACATCAGAATCCCCTGCTGTAAGAAGCATATTCTTATTTTAGGAGTAGTAATGTCCCGGATCTGGCATTCTTGAAATTGCAAAATCATTTTTTAATCTTGCTTCAATTTATACCAGATTTTATGTTATATATTGTTTTAATTTATCTGGGTTTTGCCACGTTCTCAATTGTAAAAGCAAGGATTATTTGGCAACTCAGGCAGAGCGTTCTATTTTGAGCGATTGTTTGACAATAAACCGCCGTATCATAGTGAAATACTCGTGTAGATTAAACCAATAATCAAGTGAATTTATCGCATGGCACAATTTTACGTTTATGTGATATGATTATTTAATATATAGTGATAAGAATATTTGTTGTTGATTGGGACACCATAATTTAGTTCCCACAAGTTCACAATGATAAACCTTCATAATATGCCTGCTTTTATGTATGACATGACATCTAGACTAATAGTAGTTTAGAGATCCGTTTGTTTAATATTGAAAATCAATAAATTCTTTATTAAGTACTTGCGTTGCTAAATATGCATTAGGATTATGAACACTGTAATTAAATATTAAGAACCTTTTTTATAGCATAATTCAGAAATTATCATGTGTCCAAAAATTCAAATCAATATAGGGCTTTGTTTTGGGCTCAGAACAAGAAAAGACAATAGATAATACATTGACCCAAAAAACGGTGCCAAGTGCCAACATAAGTTTCGACCTAAAAAAAAAAAGAAGGGGACAATATCAGTGCATTGCATCTTAACATTTGCTTGCCTTTATTTGAAAGGTGTAGAGGATGCTTTAAGTAGACGTTATCAGCAGCACTCACTTCCACATTTACATCATCGCTAGACGTCCAATCTTAATCAGACGGTACCAATTCAAATTAGCCTTATCCTGCTTTGACTCCCTCCACCCTAACCCCAACGTGCCTTTGCAAACAATTCCTGTTTGTCAAGTCCAATCATTATCATTATAATATTATTGAAACATCCCTTTTTCCTTTTGGGCCACACTACACTTATCATCATTTCACATTCTACCTTTTTTCTTATGTCCCTTCTATTCTTTTCCCTTTAAAGTGACACTAAATAGTTTTTCTTTATAGTTTGGTTCAATTTTGAGTGTATTTGGTTAAGATATTGAAGAGCTTTCAAATGATGTTTTGTCGAGGAAATTTTTTTTGCTTTTGCTTTTACTGTATCGGTTGTGTAATTTATAGTATATTTTGTTTCATAAAATCTTCTACAAACACAATTGCATGAATTTTGGCTTTTAGATTTATTTCTCGTGACAACTTCTGTGCTTTTATTTTATTTTTCCAATCTTGGTTTGTATTGTTATGGTGTTAGTTTTACATTTTTAATTTATTTGATTTTTAACTTTTATTGATTTTGCTTACTAAAATATTGTTTCTATAATATCAAAAGGAATTTTATTTTAATTCAAATAAGCTTTATAGCAACCAATATCTTAAAAAATGACATAGAAATCAAAACTGAAATAAGATAAAACTACCAAAATTTAATATTTTAATTTTTTATCATAATTTTTTTTACTATAATCAATAAACGATGAATTCTAAATTTCTAATACTTTGTATGTGAAATAGGATGGAAAATTGAATATTTTTTATGTATGTTAACATTAAAGGAAGAAGTTGAATTGAATTATATTTGAAAATAAAATATTCATATTAAATTTTCTCTTTAGTTGGGTATGTTTGGAGTAGAATTATATAGGAGAAAAATTATAATCATACATCCACTTTCTCTTTTATTTCAAGTTCATCTTTTTTTTTTTTCTTTTCATTTTTTTATCACATCACTGGTCATATCAGTCACTTTTTCTCTCTATTTTTTTCCTACTCTTTCTTCTATCCACCCTATAGAAGAGTAGAAAATTTTCATTTCTAGTAAATTTTTTATAATTTTAAATTTTAAAATAAAAAGAAAATAATATATTAACGTAAATTTAGTGTCCTATATATATATATATATATATATATATATTTTTAAATATTATGTAACTCTTATTTTTTTAAAGTCTTTGTATGCAAATATTTGATTATTTGTCTTAAAAGCTTACCTTTTATTTCCAATTCCTTTTTTTTTAATTATTTATGAGAATTTTCCATTCCTTTTAATTTGTAAAAACTTGACAAATAGTACTATGTATATGTATGAATTATTTAGGTTAAATTGTACTTTTGATTCTTTATCTTGTTTTTAAAATTTATTTTAATTTTTATTTACTAAAATATTTATTATGGTCCTTTATCTTTATGGTTAGATCAATTTTATCATTTTAAAATAATGATTATTTTTAATTTTGAGACACAAATTTTAAATTAATTTTTGATTGATTCAAAATATAACAATTGAATAAAAAATTATAACATTAGATTCACTTATATGAAAAATATAAAATTAAATTAACGTTTGAATTCAAAAGGAATATAAATATAACGAAAACTATGTGAAAAATATATCCCACAAATAACTAAAAAATAATGTGAAATCATATTTTTTTGATTTTTTAAATTTTTTTTAGACTTATTTTTACATATTTTTTTTACCATGTTTACAATTATTTTTTTATTTTAAATTGCATTTGTTTTCAATAACTTTTATATAATTTGGTTTAAATTATATTTTTTAATTGTCTTAAATTAATTAAAAAATAATTTAAAATTGTGTCTCAAAAATAAAAGTAATCATTGTTTCAAATAATTAAATTGACTCAAAATTAAAAAATAAATAACAAAATAAATATTTTAAAACATAAGACACAAAAATAAATAAATTTTAAAAATAAGATAAAGGATAAAAATATAATTTAATCAATTATTTACTTATCATATTAATATAAAGACATATAACAGTGGATTGAATATTATTTATTGAAAAGTTTAATTTTTGTAACCGTCAATGTAGATATTTTCACTATTGATTTGTTAAAAATTATAGCATCCAAAGTAATTACTACATATTACCAAAAAAAAGTAGTTACTGTGTAAACGTAAGCTATATATGACAATGTAATTAAACGATAGTATAAAAGCTTTCATGATAACAACATATTTTAATTAAATTCTTAATCTGACTTTTTTTTTTGTTACACCAATTGAAATTTCTTTATCCCAATAATAATCTATTAATTTTTTTTCTTATCCCATCTTTCAAAATATTTATAATGGAAAAAAATTGACAATTTTTGCATTATCATGCAATGTCAGAACTCGTTTACCTAAATATTATAAATGTAAAGTGGTTGTACTTGGGCAACAGAACTAGTCAAGTAAAGACTAGGTACACTGCATATTTTAAAGTAACATATATGAAGATGATTAGGCATTGTCATCAAACGTTGTAGTTTGCTGGGGATAGCATAAGATGAAATGCAGATTTCTGATCTCAACATTTATTTCTTAAAATGTTATAAAACATTTAACAAAATAATTTTGTGTGACTTACCCTCGAAGCCATTTTTGTGATCCATCTAAATACTTTATCGACAATTGATAGCAACATGGAAATAAGTTGTTTATGCACCAAACAACAAAATGGTGGAATCCTACCTTAAAGGAAAAAAAAATAATGATGTGAGACTAATCAACAACAAACAAGTCATTAGTTAAATTCAACATAAAAAATCTACCAACTCATTATATTTATTAATTAGGAAAAATATATTTGTGAATTCTCATCTAACTAGTTATGGGGTAGTAAGTGAGGAACTAACAACCTTCCCAATTATTATTATTATTACTCATAAAAGTTCCATGCACTCTCGAAGCCGCCACCTGACAAGGGTAGTTTCGTGAATTCATAATACATCAATGCACGAGGCTCCAGCGAAAAAGGAAAAACTGAAATTTCTCTTCAAATTCGGTTGGCAAGGAAAAACGCGCAATACAAAAAACAATTTAAAATTTAAATTTAAAAGAAACGGAAAAGAATTGGTGAGGACCAGAAATTAAAGTTATTAAACCATGAAATAATAATAAAAAAAAAGTTTTAAAAAAAACTCCCTCCCTTTTTTTTTAATCCATTTAAAAATTTGTGTGATTATTATGCTGAGTAGGAAGTGCGAAAAGCGAAGCCAAAAAAGCTGTTTCTTTCAAATTCATCTTCTCCATTCGTTGTGAGGAACCAAACGCGGCCTTGTGAGGCTGAGGCTCTTCCGCGAACACATTCAAATTGTTCTTTCCTCCGTTTTCTGAAGTTCCGAATCGCTCAATGCTCAACGATTCCTCCAACGGAAACGCCGTTCTGCAAGATCTTCATCTCACTCATTCTTCTCCACTAGTCATCTTCTGCGCATTCTGAGGTTAGTGGATCCGCTTCGCGAAACTCGGATTCAGTTCATGATTTCGTGCGTGTTTCTGTTTTTCGCGTTCTCTGCTTCTGGTTCTGTTTCGCGGCACGTTAAACGAGGAAAACTTGAAGATAATGAGGATTGTTGTTTGAAACTTTATTATCTTGATTTTTATAGTAGTTTCTTAGTGAGACATTTCCTCTTAGTTGGTATTTATATTTTTTCCATGTTTATGATTTTTTTTTTACTGTTTTAGAAATTGATGTTTGAGTAGAACGTAAGATCTGTTGCTGTATGAATGTTGTAGCATTTTGACTAAAAAAAGAAAGGAAAAGAAAAAGAAGAGATTGAAGGTGGAAGACGTTTTCAACCTCATTTAGGTTGGGTCCATAGGATTAGGCTCAGTGGGGGCGTGGCTGTGTTATGTTAGGTTCATGATTTTGAATTTTACAGCTTGGAATGAGGTTCAAAGTGTCAATTTAATGGCGACTTTAAAGCCTGGAGCACTAGATTAGAGAGAAGAGAGTAGAGTGTGTGTATGTTGAGCTAGGGTCCCCTCTCCATTATGTTATCCTGATTAAGTCATTCATTGGGACCTTGTTTTAAAGTTTGAAAGGTCCATTTGTATGTAAAGTTAACTTTTTTGTTATTGAAAAATATTATCGCTTTTTTGCTTTTTTGCAATTTGCAATTGTTGATGACATCCTTCCTTGGTTATGGCAGAGGGGTCTATAAGGGAAGATGTCTCAGACATCCAGTGCCCTGCCTGCCTTCCACTCCATCAAGTTGTTGCCTCCTGAGTTCAAGTTTGCTAATAATTCTAACCCCGTTCTTGTGGAAAAACATGGAGATGTTAAATTTAGACGCACCAATCTGACTGGACCGAATGGTCTTGAGAATGGTGCACTGGTAGGGGAGGTTTCTAAGGAAGTTAAAGGCCGTGCTGGTGGCATGGATCTTTTTGATGAGGAATCGCCATATGGTGGGAAAGGTAGATCATTAAAAGACCGGCCGTCTAATGCAGATGAAGATTCAGTATCTGTTTCTTTGCCCCTTCCATCGATTTTGACATCCTCTAGGGAAAGCAGGTGGAATGATACAAATGCTTATGGTTCAAAAAAGGTAATTGTGGCTTTAGATTTCAGTTTTACTCTACTGCTGGGTTTTGGAATTACTCAATTTTTCTGCAAGAATATTCAAGGAATTGGGAACAATACATTTTCTTTTTATTTAATGGCTGTGTGAATGTACTGTGCTGGGGAATGAATGCGTAACTCATTGCTTTGATAAGATGCTTAAAATTTTTCAAAAGAAGATAATTGCCATTAAAGCAATTCCAGTCCTTTTGTTTACTGAGATTGTTTGAGCTCTCATTAATAGATAGTTTAAATTTTTTGTTTCTTTCTCTTACTTCTGAAATTCACTATTTCAGAAGCTTCAGTCTTGGCTTCAACTACCAAATGGGGATTGGGAGCTGGTAAAGATAATAACAACTTCTGCAGATGAATCTGTCATTTCACTGCCTAATGGGAAAGTAAGCCAAGTTACAATATTTCTCAAGAATGTTTGGTTCTTTTTTGGTCTGATTAACTGTACTCTTACCCCTGCGAATCACAGGTTTTAAAGGTGAAAGAGGATATTCTGGTACCAGCGAATCCTGATATTCTTGATGGAGTTGATGACCTCATGCAACTAAGTTATTTAAATGAACCCTCAGTTTTATTCAACCTGCAATATAGATACAATCATAATATGATATATGTAAGTCTTTATATTGCACAAGTTTTTCTCTTCAATATTATTTCCTTGTCATAACATCTTTAAGAGCAAAACTATGTTCAATTCAGACAAAAGCTGGGCCTGTTTTGGTTGCTGTAAATCCCTTTAAGAAAGTTCCTCTATATGGTAATGACTATATTGAAGCCTACAAGTGTAAAGCAATTGAAAGCCCTCATGTATATGCAATTACTGACACAGCCATCCGAGAAATGATACGAGGTAATTTTTTCCTTATATTTACATAAATGGATGACGTTTCAAAAGTTATGCCATTTGTTTTGAGCTATAACTTCTTACCCTGTCTCTTGCTTTGTTTACAGACGAAGTGAATCAATCTATAGTTATAAGGTCAGTATTTTTTGATTAATTCTCCTTTTCTGAGCAACATATTATCATAAACTATTTGGTGTTTCCTTATTTCCTTTTTTTTTTTAAGATGTTTCAAAGTTTTTGAGTGGTAAAATTATCCAATTTATGAATGATTGAACATTCAGTTGGTTGATGGTGTTCGAAGAATGTGTAGCATCTTGAGTGGTCAAATGTTCCTAATTTCCTATTTCTTAAGCTGGAATTATTTTTAGCATTGGTTCATTTTTCTGTTAGTTTCCCTTTCCCAAAAATTTCATCTATCCATATTAAATAATATTAAAGTTGCACTCACTCTCTAGAAAAAATAAAGAGAATTTTGTATATTCCACAATGTTCTTAAATTTGATTTGATATTCATGTCAAATAGACATAATTTTCTTGTTTTTTTTTCAGTTAATTTTTCAGCTTTCAAGTGTCTATATGCATGGATTTGATTTTGACTTTTAAACACCTGCATTGCATAATTTTTATTCAGTATTGGGTCTCCCTTGTGGTCCCTGCTTGAGATTCTTTTCTGTTTTCCCCTGTCCATCTATCCTTGTTGTTGCTCTAACATTCATATAATAAAGGAAAGTTGCTTTGCTGGCTGGAGACAAAATGACATATGTGATTTTGGGACGAGCTTCTCATTTTCCATTCTTTGATTAACATTGATGGAAATAAAAGCTTCTTTGTGGTGTTGCCTGACGTTTTCTGCATTAATATTAAGCTCAACTTGGTTTTCCTTAACCTTGTGTGCCCCTTAATTGCATTTGAATTGGGATCCATATTATTTTTGTTTATATTCAGTGGTGAGAGTGGAGCAGGGAAGACTGAGACAGCAAAAATAGCAATGCAGTACCTGGCTGCCCTTGGTGGTGGAAGTGGGATAGAGAATGAGATATTAAAGACCAATCCAATACTAGAAGCGTTTGGTAATGGAAAAACATTAAGAAATGACAACTCAAGTCGTTTTGTAAGATTCTCATGTATCATATTCATTCTTTTAGTTGATTCATTAAGAGATTTTGATCTTATAAACTTTTGGTGCTGAAATCTCTCATTTGATAATGTACAGGGAAAGCTCATTGAGATTCACTTCAGTGAAGCTGGAAAAATATCTGGTGCTAATATTCAAACATGTAAGTGAGATTGAAAATTTGTGTCTTCGCTTCCTCTGTAAGTTTCCAACTAATTATGCTAACATTTGCATCTGTGTTGAATCCATGTGATGCTCCTGGCTTGACCATACCATAAACAGTTTTGCTGGAAAAGGTATTTATTCTTTTGATCTAGTTTTGCTTTCCAATATGCGTCCATTTTATGTCATTGACACTTATTTTTACCTGGTATATGAACAGTCTAGAGTAGTCCAATGCAACGAAGGGGAAAGGTCATATCATATATTTTATCAGCTATGTGCCGGAGCACCATCATCTCTTAGGGGTAAGTGGATTCTTTTACCTTCTGTATCTGCTAATATATTTGTTACATAGGTGGGTTTTTGTTAGACTTTTTGTTTGACTTTGGCCTTGAAGAATATAGTTTTTAGTTGTAAAATATGGTTTTAGTTTTGTCCTTTTTGTTGGCATAACAGTTTTTTCCTATATTGTCCAACCCTCCTCTCTTGGGTGGGATTGTACTTGTAAGTGAATTTATTTTGTTGTTATTACTGGGTTGCTTTATCGTTGCTATTTGAAGTATATTTATTTAATAACAACCTAAAGAAAAGCCATGAATTTAATAAACAGGAACTTTTGCATATTCAAAGGATCAAAGTTAAAGAAAAGGATGAAGCCACAAATTAATAAGGATGATCAGTTTGGTGTCTTTTTTAGTTAGATAAAATCATAAAAGTCCATGCTGCCTAATTATATACAAAATTAATGATGCAAAAATCATCTTTATCTAATTCACTTATGGTTTGCTGTCAGAGTGTGCATCTTTCTTCGACAGCCACAAGTCATTCCTTGTAATAATAGTATGCCATGGGTACAATTTTAGAATGTGGAATCTGGTTTGTTTGGATCATTAAGGCATGTTTCTCTGGGATTTTGAAGAATCTAGAATCTCATCGATCCTTAGAATTTATTCTAACAGTAATAAGTCATATTTGGGTAGTTTTTTCAAAATCATTTCTCACATCTTTATAGGCTCTAGAATTGATTCTGGAAGTTAGATTTTATTGTTTCTTCAAGTTAATTATTGGTATGGATCCAAGCAATTTTGCTAAAATATGCCTACAATCAACATCATAAAATTAGTTTTGACAAATTCTATGGCTGGTAATTTCTTGAAGATATTCTTACAATAACTATTTACACTTCTAAAATTATTTTATTTTACATAAGGGGTGTCGCAAGTGATAAGATAGCATGAGTTGAATAGTTGGAGGGTCTCTGCAGCAGGGCTCCATAAGAATACTTAGTAGAACATAATCTCACATGTATGGGATTTTATGTTGCCAAAGATACAAGATTTTTTTTCTAGAATATTCCTATATGTAACATTAAGTTATGTATTCTTGTTTATTTGCCTTTGCTGTTTCATTCTATTTTGATGTTTGATTTTATAACTCAGAGAAGCTAAATCTGTTAAGTGTGGAAGACTATAAATATCTGAGACAGAGCAATTGTTTTTCAATTACTGGTGTTGATGATGCAGAAGAATTTCAAATAGTCAAGGTATACATGATTTTTCATCACTTGTTGCTTATGAATGATCTGCATCCACATAGGTTTATATGAGTTTTTGGAATTTCCATTTTGACTTATGGTTTAATTCTGAAATAACAACATTGACATACATAAGTTTTTTCTCATGCTATTGTCAATTCTAGGAAGCTTTGGATGTTGTCCACATTAGCAAAGGGGACCAGGAGAATGTATTTGCAATGCTCGCTGCAGTATTATGGTTAGGAAACATATCATTTACTGTGGTCGATAATGAAAATCATGTTCAAGCTGTTGAAGATGAGGGTAAGAATTTTCCAGAATCTCTTCTAATGGAATCTACAACACAGATTTTTTCTGCTTGATAGGTTGCATATTACCAAAGGGATACCTTGTTTTGGCACTGCTTGGAAACTCCGGATCCATTTTACATTGCAGTACATCATATTTAATTGTACAAACAGATTGACAAGATCATAATCTTATATTGACAATAACTAAGAGGGGCCTTGGTGCAATGGCTGGAGTTGTTTCCATGTAACCTTTAGGTCACAGGTTCTAGTCAGCCTCTTGCAAATGCAAGGAAAGGCTGTGTGTTATAGATCCCCTATGTGGGTCTGACCCTTCCCTAGACCTGCTGCATAGTGGGAGCTTTGTAGCTCAAGGCTTCCCCATTTTTATTTGGATAATAACTAAATGATTTGGTTATGAATACTATCCATTGTGGCATACATTTTGGATAGGTATCCATTACTTGCCCCTATCTAGCTTTTGCAAATGCATTGGTATTAACACAAGAAAGCTGCCATAATTCTACGTCTGTTTCAATAGTTTGCTCACAATAAAACTCCCTGGTTAATGGTTATAGAAAAGCTTCTGTCTGGTGCTAGATTTTGTGTTCGGGATGTTCTTTAAATTTTCTAGAATGGATGGGTTAGCATTTTACTTCTGAAAAAAAAATGTTGGAAAGCTGAGAGAAGAGGAAAGATATGATTTGTATTTGTGTTGCAGAATGAAGTTGCTGTTTTTATTTTTTTCTTTGATATGGTTATTGGTTGATTTGATTTTCTGCACTTATATAATTTAACAACCATTTAGTAGCTTCAACTTCTTTTCATTTTCATATCATTACTGTTTTTTTATTGTGCACTTCATACCAAATTTCTGGCACAAATAAGTTTTGACCTTATTTTAGAAGCTTTAATGCATTATAAGTTATTTAATACCTCAGTTAAAAATGGATTTTGTTTCCTGACTTCTTATAGGGCTATTCACTGTTGCCAAGTTGATTGGCTGTGAAGTTGAAGACCTGAAGCTGACTTTATCAACTCGCAAGATGAAAGTTGGTAATGATAATATTGTCCAGAAGTTGACGCTATCTCAGGTAAAATGACTAAAATGTTGGTATTTACCTTTGTCTATAACTGTGGTTAGAAAAAATGCAACTTCCAAGGTGGAACATCTTGGGTATATGAATTTATATTGAATATTTCATTCAGCATATTCCAATTCATTTAATTTGTTATTACAAGGTAATAGAAAGTGAAAGAAAAGTTCATTAGTTATGAACATTGCCTCATTGGATTTTCCTTCTTAGAAATTCCACTGTCTTTAAATATGAACAACTGTTACTTTTCTTATCATGTAGGCTATTGATGCAAGAGACGCTTTGGCGAAGTCAATATATGCATGTCTGTTTGATTGGTTGGTTGAACAAATAAACAAATCACTTGCAGTTGGCAAAAGACGAACTGGCAGATCGATCAGCATTCTAGACATTTATGGCTTTGAGTCATTCAATGTATGTTTTATAATATATGAGAGATCTCCTTTATCTTATATATATATAATTTTATAATAACAAAGATAATATGTGTTAACTTAGCATTGAATTGAACCTCTCTCTCTCTCTCTTTTTCTCTCTCTCTCTCTCTCTCTATATATATATATATATATATCTCACTATCCTTATCCTGTTTAAATTTGAAATATTTTTTCTGTTGAATGCTGTGAATTTATGCACAGAGGAACAGTTTTGAGCAGTTCTGCATAAATTATGCAAATGAGAGATTACAGCAACACTTCAATCGCCATTTATTCAAGTTAGAACAGGAGGTATGGCCCATGTATAAACTGACTGCTTAACAACAGATAAAGAATACGTGTATAGCATATTTTTCAGGCAAATAGACAATTTTTCATTCAAATCTGCAAGTTCCCAATAAAAATGTTAATATTAAACCCACAACGTTTTTATCTTGGACTCTTACTTCTTTATAATTATTGCCTAATATTTCTTATTGACAACCTTTTTTCTTTTCTACTCCTCAATTTCCTTTGTTCTACTGTTTTTTATTCAGCGTAATACATAACTCTATAAAACATAAATTGGCTTTGGCCAAATCTACACCCCCCTCAATGAGCAAATTTCTGATAAGTTGCAGCTCCTTTGATAACTATCACTCTTAATTTGATTGTTTTCTCATTTTTTTAATTTTAACGTACATACTTGGTGCAATAATTTTAACGGAAGTAGTACCCTTGAAGCACTGAATATTTTCCACTTCAACCACCCACGATAAGCCCAAGTAGGAGGTTACCCTTCCTTTGGGGTTGGCCTCCATGCTGATGCTTTTTAAATTCTGTGTTCAAAGTCTTCCTATAGGTTAACACTAATAGGGTCCACACTCCCACATTCTATACTGAATTTAACAAAACCGCACTCACTGACACCTACTAGGCTACTACTATTTCCCAATTATGTTGGTAGAAATTGCTGGATACCAATCTTAACCTGGTTCCTTAATGGGCTCATGTCAGAAATTGCCCTCCAAATATCCATGTTCAGGATCACATAGTTCAACTTCCTCAAGTTGTTCTTAATTCTTTTTCAGGAGTTATTAGTATATTGGTGTAGTTTTGGAAAGCTGATGTATAAACAAGTTCTCATTTAAGTTGATGGTCATAAAATAAAGTTGAAAGTACTGAATGCCTTACTATAAAATAGAAAAAAGAAAAAAAGAAGAAAAAAAAGAGGCTTACCTCTGAAAGCTAAACATCTGCTTATGCTTGTTCCTTGTTTACAATTTTACCTCAGGAATATATCCAAGATGGCATTGATTGGGCTAAAGTTGAATTTGAAGACAACCAAGATTGCCTTAATCTTTTTGAGAAGGTACCGAGCTTCCTTTCCCCACTTTGAACCTTTTCTGTGTAATCTTTAGTTTGTTTATTTTAGAATATAGTGGCAAAGGGAATAGGGAAAACTTAGCTAATATTCTTTTGCAGTGGCTGAATATAGTGCTTATAAGTTAATGTTATATATGCAATGTGATCCTTTCATGTCTGCTAGTTTATGTAAAAGAAACACAACTTTGGAATTTCCAAAAAGCGACACTATTTTCTTGGGTTCGTTTGTATTATTAGAATTTAGAAAACATACATATTTTAATGCTTGAATGAATATTAGGAATTGGGGAATCGGGATTGACATTTTATTATGCATAATATGAAGCACGTGTCATATTTATTTGTATATTATATTTATAAGTAAGCTACTTTGATGTTTGTTTTGTACATATTCTAAATCTTCCATATAACTTGCTATACTTTCTACCATTTGTTGTTTCTTTCTGCTGTTAAACTAAATATTTTGGGATGTGATTTTGTCTAGATGTTCTGCAGAAACATTGTGAAAAGCTTATGCTTTTCTTGTCTCGGTTTTTTATAAGACTGAAGCAAATATATTGGGATTTTGGAGTGAATTTTGTTAATTCAGAGTTCCATGACTGACATTTAAAATTTTACAATGTGCTCTGAATCCGAATATGAATATCATTTGTATTACTACTTGGTTCTTTTGTGATGTTTTGACTTCTTTTTTCCCTGACATAATAAGGCACTGATATGATGGTTAATGGTAAGATCATAAAATTTTGTGGCTAATATATATCTTTTATGTGCTGCGGAAAAAGACCATATCTAATAAGAAATTGAAAATTCTTTTGTCTTAGACTTTGCTTCTGACATGTGCAGAAACCACTGGGGCTACTGTCCCTGATAGATGAAGAGTCCACTTTCCCTAATGGCACAGATTTAACGTTTGCTAATAAACTTAAGCAGCATTTGAATTCCAATTCATGCTTTAAAGGAGAACGAGAAAAAGCCTTTACTGTGCGTCATTATGCAGGGGAGGTATTACTCTGGCCATTTTTATACAATTCTATTGGTTCTATCTGTTTATGCAAAGTGCTTGTAAATTGCCTTAAGATGAATGCGTTTAAGATTTACATTATAATGGTATCTATTTTGACATTCTAGCGTGGATTTTATATTGTGATACAACTACGTTTTATGGATAGGAATACACAATTCCACTATATTTATAACCTATTAACCATGTTTATGATTAAACTTTCATTGTTAATGTTTTTTAACTCCCAAACACTATCATTTTTCTTAAAAACAAAAGGTTATTTCTTATCAATTTAAGTTTTGCTCATCCTACCTGACTGTTGATAGTTTCACTTTTTCCCCAGGTCACTTATGATACAACTGGATTCCTGGAAAAGAACAGGGACCTATTACACTTGGATTCCATCCAACTTCTATCCTCAAGCAAATGTCATCTTCCGAAGTTATTTGCATCCCATATGCTTACTCAGTCTGAGAAGCCTGTAGTAGGTCCCTTACATAAGTCAGGTGGGGCAGATTCCCAAAAACTAAGTGTTGCTACAAAATTCAAGGTACATAATCTTATTTCTGATTTTTTCTTATACTTGGGTTAGGTAGACTAATGTTTTGGTTTTCCTAGCCTTCCAAATATAAATGCTAGAAGTTATTCTCGAGTATGCTATTAATGATATTCATCTTGATCAAACCATGCAAAATACTGATTCTAAGGCTTGAAAAAGGACAGCCACATCTAAATGTTAATAATCCCAATGATAAGTGTGACATGAACTGTCAATGAAGATGCTTCAAAATGGTTTTCTTAATTGTTACAAGTAATCAATTCATTTCATGTTTTAATTGTGAATTGGTTCAAGTGATCTTTAGCAGGATGGTATTTACATATACCGACCCTACTGTTGTAGTTTGTATAAAAGTGAAAATGGAAGTAGTGGAGTGGAATTTGATTGAAAATAATGTATCAAACTATTCATTTTTTAAAATACTTTATCAACAACATCTCACTCCTACCAAACACACCTTAAATATTCAGAGTTTTTTTTTTAGTATGTTGGGATATTTATCCTTCTTCAATTGACTTTAGAAGTTATTTCTGTTGGTACCCAGGGACAATTGTTCCAATTGATGCAACGTTTAGAGAGTACTTCACCACATTTTATACGCTGCATTAAGCCCAATAATCTCCAATCACCCGGATCATATGAGCAAAGCCTTGTACTGCAGCAGTTGAGATGTTGTGGGGTCCTGGAAGTGGTTCGAATATCAAGATCGGGCTTTCCAACTAGAGTGTCTCACCAAAAGTTTGCTAGAAGGTATAACATCAGAGAAATAAACTATGGTGATTAATATCCTTTCAAATTAGCCCCCTTCCCCCTTCCCCCATCTCGCTTTTGCACGTTTCTAACCTTTCTCTTATTAATTTGGGATTGGCAAATCAGATACGGTTTTCTTCTCCTTGAAAATGTTGCCTCCCAGGACCCACTTAGTGTTTCAGTTGCTATTCTTCATCAGTTTAACATTTTGCCTGAGATGTATCAAGTTGGCTACACAAAGTTATTCTTCCGAACAGGGCAGGTAAATACATGTCTATAAGATTTTTTGCACAAATTATTCTCATTTCATTTAAATTATTGTGGTGGTAATGAATGCCAAAGTATTGATTTTATAGCATCCGCAATTTTTATGGCTTTAACTATTTCGTTTACGTCAATTTAAAAATGAATTAGTGAAGGAAGTATTATTTCCACTCATTTAATCAGTTTGGACCATAATTTTCTGTTAACCTGGCCAATTGCCTCCTTTACTAATTTAAATTTTGCATCATTTGCTCTTTTCTTCTTGCTTTCTTGTCATTTTTTTTTGTTATGGTGTAAGCAAGCCGCTCTTTCTTATCCTACATCTTAGTCTTGTCTAACTTTGAATACTGGTAATAGTTTGTTTTATCGTCAGAGCTCGACATTAAACTTCATTTACTCCTAATTTATGTGTGTTGAGGTCACTTGTTTTAGCATCACTTTGCCTGCTCTTTTGCATGATAAACTGCTCCATGTATTTAAACCGGTTCTTGTGGTGGTTCAATATGCTTTTGCATCGTCTATTTAAACTGTTGAAATAGTTTAATTCCCAAAGCCAATGTTTAAACTTTGTTTACTCCTTTTTATTGCATTGTGTCTTTAATATGCTGCGTTTATTGTGGTTGCAGATTGGAATGCTTGAAGATACAAGAAATCGTACCCTGCATGGAATTTTACGTGTGCAAAGTTGCTTCAGGGGTTACCGAGCTCGTTGTTATCGCAAGGAGCTTTGGAGAGGAATCACTACTCTCCAATCATGTATGTCCTTTTTCTCACCTAATTCTTTCAGATTCCTTGGGAAGTGTAACTAACTATTTTTTTACCCGTTCCTGCAGTTATTAGAGGAGAGAAAAGCAGAAAGGGATATGTAGCATTACTTCAGAGACATAAGGCTGCTGTTATTATACAGAAGCGGATGAAAACAGTACTTGCAAGGAACAGAATGAAAACTATTAATGGTGCTGCAGTTGTCATACAATCATGTAAGAATTCTATCAAAATACAAAGATATATGTTACTAAGTTTTTTTGTCCGAATGTTCGAAGTAGTTAATAAAGGATTGAGAGCTCCAAAATTTGTTTCAAAAAAATTAACTGTTGTCTGTTATCCTCTCTTCAGCATGTGTAGTACTGAATGATTCTTTTTCAAAATTCCTAAATTTTGTTGTGGAAAATAACTGAACATTTCATAGTAATGTGAACAACTGTCTTTTCAATGATATTCAATAAATTTTGATTTATTTTTATTGCGTTTTGCAGTTATTCGGGGTTGGTTAGTCAGAAGATGCTCAGGAGATATAGGTTTATCAAAATCCGGAAGCACGAAGGTATATTCTTTTATAATTTCAGAAACTATATTTGAAGAGAATTGTTGTCATGGAATGCTTGTAAAATTTTCATCTTTGTGGTACTTACAATCATAAACCTCTTAAACAGACTAATGAGTCAGATGAGGTTCTGGTGAAGTCGTCATTCTTGGTTGAATTACAGCGTCGGGTACTTAAGGCAGAAGCTGCCCTGAGAGAGAAAGAGGAGGAAAATGACATTCTTCATCAACGTCTTCAACAGTATGAGAGCAGATGGTCTGAATATGAATTAAAGATGAAATCCATGGAAGAAGTATGGCAGAAACAAATGAGATCCCTACAATCTAGCCTCTCTATTGCAAAGAAGAGCCTTGCTATGGAAGATTCTGGAAGAAATTCAGATGCTTCTGTTAATGCAAGTGATGATAAGGATTACAGCTGGGATGTAGCAAGTAATCACAGGCGCCAAGAAAGCAACGGGACAAGATCAATGAGTGCTGGTTTGAGTGTTATAAGTCGGTTGGCTGAGGAATTTGAGCAGAGGAGTCAAGTATTTGGTGATGATGCTAAGTTCTTGGTAGAGGTTAAATCTGGTCAAGTTGAAGCAAGTTTGAACCCAGATAGTGAGCTTAGAAGGTTAAAACAGATGTTTGAAGCTTGGAAAAAGGACTATGGTGCAAGACTACGTGAAACAAAGGTCATTTTACATAAACTTGGAAGTGAAGATGGATCAATTGAGAAAGTGAAGAAAAAGTGGTGGGGAAGAAGAAATAGTACAAGAATAAGTTGATTTATTTTTTCCTTTTGGGGTTTGGCTTTGGTCTATGCACTGCTTTAAGGGCATTGCCAACTATATATCCGAAAATGATGAAAAATACAATAGAAAAGATACGATAGGAGTAGGAGGGAAGAGTTAAGGAAGAATGAATTGCTAGTTACTGTAATTAGGTTAGCCGTTGCTAGCCGCTTTTATTTATGAGAAATTTCTGCACGTGTTGTGGAGTTAGATACTCAATACGAACCTTGTGATTCATGTAAATCATCACACGTGCCTTGCTATGTGAATTGCATGCAAAAAAAAGCTAGTTTTCAAGCATTACACACATTTCTAAAGAGAAAAATGTATATGAATAGGTAGTGTAATGATTTTTTATACCATAATTTAATTCGTTAATTTTGATAATAATTTTTTTAAAATTATATCAAAGTTAGATTTTTAATTGGTTGAGAGAGAAAAGCATTTACATTAATATATATATGTATACCTATATAATTTAAAAATTATACTTTTACTCTTAGATATTATATAGATAGTGTAACTAGGTATATAATATAAAGTATAATAAGTATTTAGTCCTATTATTTTATGTTTAGTAACTATGTGATTGATACATAGAATTTATAAGCTAAATTGGTTTACTTTTCTTTAGAGATTTTTTTTATTCAATCATGCGATTTTTATATCCAAGACGTAAACTATTATTTAAAAGAATTGAGTTTAGAATTATTCAAATCCATACGTTGTTTCGCTCTTATTATATAAGAATAAACCAAAAAGACATTTAGAAATTGAAAAAAAAATGAAAAAATTATTTGAATTAATAGTTATTATTTGTCTATTAATTTCATGTGCTATATTAAATTTTAACTTATTATTATTTGTTAAGACTAACAATCATTAAATATAATTTCATGTTCTTCTAATTTCATGTGCTATATTATTTATTAAGACTAATAATCTTTAAATATAATTTAAAATTTAAAAATTAATTTAAGTGAAAATACTTTATTAGTATCAAAATTATATAAGTTACATTTCATAGCACATTTTATAAGCATTTTATACTTAATTTATGTTAATTTACAATTGGATTAAGATTAGGTTCATTATTAATATTTTTAATTTTTTCACTTGTAGGGTTTTGACATATTTTTGTGATTGGATATTTTTTTAATTGTGTGATTTTAATTTTGAGATTGAAAATTTGAAGACTTAAAAGTCTTAAGAGAAACATAAAAATCTTTGAAAGTTATTTTAAAGTTGATTCATGAAGTCTTTTGAAGAAATTGACAAGAAGAAACTATTGCATGGGTGTGAAAATTTTCAATGTAAGTGTAAGGATGACATCAAATTATTCCAATGTAGAATGGATGTCCTTCACCTTTTAAATTTTTTTTTACACCTTCACCATAACAATGTGGTTAATCCTTACACCGTTATGGACAAACTTAATGTTTTATTTTTGTAATTATTTTATTTTATTTTTAACGGACATTTTAAGTTTAAAATAGTCACTCTTAGTAATTTTAAGATATTTTTAAAATAGATTAAGAAAGATGAAAATTTTGAGATAGTCACTCTTATTATTTTCATTATGTTTTCATATTACATCTCACATGTAAATAGTTCTCTCTTATATTTTGGGATTCAATATAATTTCGTAATGTTTGTATTTATTGTATTTCTTTCTATTATTTTTTTATCTATAAATATGACTTATGCAATATTATAAAGTTGACATTCAAAGATTAATCTATAATGTGAGATGTAACTTTCTATTATTTTATTTATTTTTTTAACAAATAAAGGATATAATTTTGGAACTACTTCTTTAATTCATGACCTAAGAGTTAAATTAAATTAACATAATACCTAAATAAGTATTATTAAGAAATTAATGTAATTAAATCAAATATCTCATAAGAATATAAAGATGATTGAACTAATTTGTTTATTATTATCTTGTGAAATTTAATCTTAATTATAAATTAAATTCTCAACCTATTCTAATTATTAATTCTTAATTAAATTTTAAACTTTGAACTTATCGAATTTAATTTTTATTTTAATTCTCAATTCTTTCATTTTAATTATATTTAATTAGCAATAATTACTTTGTTAAACACATGGAACGATTTTTAATATGTTAAATCCTAAATCTTAAAAAAAAATTTCTATTATTCGACAACTCTATACACTTCCAATTTCTATCTATCAATCCATCAATAAAAAAATTAAAATAAAATATTTGATATAAAAGATGTTAATAAATAAAAAGGAGGTAATTTTTAAAATTTTATTATATATTTTATTAATTTAATGAATATGATAATGATAAGTGTTAATTAGAATTTAGATCCTCTCCTACAATATATATTTTATATATTTTTTTATATATACAACTTTTATTCGTGCAAATAAATATATAATACGTAAAATATTGTTTTTAAGACTTTTGATTTTTTTTTTTAAATATGTTAGTGTCACTGTTGAATTAAATAATAAAGCTACTAAAGAAAATAAAATTTGGCACATTTAAAGAAAATTAAAAGTCGACATTTTAAAAATGCAAACCAATTTTTATATATTTATAGGAAAAGAATAAGTGTGATATTTTTGAAGAAGCAGTTCGGTTTGTTATATGGGCCAAGTTGCCGACCCGATTATCCGTTGCCATAACTGAACAACCAGAAACATTGACAGAGTGCGGTGGAATGCAATGTTAGGTGGCGGCGTCTCTCGTATTTCCCAGCATTTTCGAGAGTGCGACCTCCATTTCCACGTCCCTTTCACCTTCACCTTCACTTACTCTGCTTCTCCAACTTTCCACACACCTTCTTCTCCACGCATCGCCATTACTGCCACTGCCAACCGCACCCGCTCTTTTGCCACCCCATCCAAGTCCTCTGGCGAAATTCCTCTCCTTTTCGATTCTTTCAGGTCCTATTCTTCATTTTATCAAATGGGTTTTTTTTTTATTTTTGGTTTTTTGATGGAAACATGTTTTAGTTCACCTCTTCAAAAAAAAAGAAAAAAGAAGAAGTAAAGTTGAGGTGTATTTTTCAAGACCTGGTGACTTGGTGTGAGCTAAAATCTCTAAGCAGCAAACACCACCACCAACATAGTCTTATCCTACTAAGTGAGGTCTGCTACATGCTATTATCAAGTTTGTATCTTGAGAATAGGGTATTATTAGTTACAATTCTTTGTAAACCCAAAGTTGAACGTTGAAGGTCCTATCTCCCATGATGTCCGAGGAATGAGTTGCCTAAAGTATGTATGATGATAATAAGAATATTAAGCTTTATGTGCTAATGCTAATCATTCATTAGTTTGTTCATTTTGAATATTTTAATCTTAGTCACACACAAACACAGTGAGTGTGTATGAGGGTGAGACCGTGAGAGAGAGTTGATTTGATAAAAGTTGTAAATAATTCAGATGAGAGTTGTTAAACTAGATCTATCTGGAAATTGAATCACTAGAGCTGGCCTGGTAGTGGAGAGTTGAAGTAGTATGCACAAGATTTAGGTTCAAACCATGTTTCATCGTAATTCTTATGGATCAAAAAAAAGATCTACATGTAAATTGTGGAAATAAAAACCACTAATAAACAGATATACCGATTTTCTTTAATGTGCATTAATTGTCATCCTGTTTTACTCAAGAATCTGATTTAGTTATTCTTTATGTGAAGCCAACAAGAGGATGAACGTGAAATTCTCTCTGATGGGAGATCTGCTGTGGCAGGTTTTTATCCTCTTTCACCTGACGCCGTTTTTACCATTTTTCATATGATGTCCAACTATGTCATTGGCAACTTGTGTTCTTACTTCTTAGAATATTTATATTGTTTGGAGGGAAATAACAGGATTTTTCAAAAAGGAAAACAATAAAGAATGGTTGATGATTTTGTGGAACTGGTTCTGTGATTTACCATGTCATCATAGTTTTTTATAGGAGAGAATTGCATCCTGTCAGGCTTCTTGATTCTCCTAGTATTGTATTTCTTCCTTAACTTCATATATCTTTTTATTCTTTTGGCTACTTATTGTCAATTAGTCATTCTTGTTTGCTCTTTGTGCATGATTGCATGTAGATTTCTTGATTTATTTTTTAAATTAGTATTACTTACTTGAGTGAGTGGTGTAGACTGTAGAGAACTAGTGAAGAAGGACGTGCAGAAAATTGAGTTTTCACTTTGGAAGTTGGGATATATGTTATGTACTATTGTTGATTCTATCTTAGTCATTGCCAGGTGGAATTGTAGCATTGGGAAAGTTTGATGCTCTGCACATAGGTCATCGAGAACTTGCAATTCAAGCATCAAGGGCTGGACCTCCATTTCTTTTATCATTTGTTGGCATGGCAAAAGTACTTGGTTGGGAACCTAGGTATGACATAGTATAGGTTGGGATCAAACCAATTAAACAGGTTTACTTTATTGGTTTATGTGGGTGGAAATGCGTTTGGCTGTTGCATTCATATAATATGATCTTATACTGTTGGCTAATTGATTTTAAAAAAAATGATTTGTACTAAATTTTTTAATATATGAAAAGTTTCCTATTGGGAGTTGGGACTAAAATTTAGCCTTGACATAAAGTTAAGGTTCTGTCTTGTGACCTAGATGTCCCAGTTCAAATCCTGGAAACAACCTATCCACTTGTAGGGGTAAGGTTGACTGATGCATAAGCTGTTGGCATAGCACAATGTTCACGCCATACTGAAATCATGGCAGTGTTCCTCACTTTAGCATTGTATACTGAAATCATGGCAGTGTTCCTCATGCACTAGATTATAGAATGGAATAAAGCATAGATCGCATACAGAGATATTAAAATGATTATTGAGCATTCCTTTGTCAGTTGTTACTCTTCATTTGTTATTTGGGGCTTCAGATTAGTAACCATTTTTGTGTTCCCTATTTGAATAATTGATGGTAGAAAAAATAATCATAAAATCAGATGAAGCTGGCTATTGTGCTCCTTCACAACACCAACAAAACATATAAAGCCTTTTTCCACTAGATGGGGGGTAAGGCTTTTCATTAGATTTACTCTTCCAATGGGAATTAAAACCTAAACCATCTATCCTTCTGAGGTTTGGTCTTTGTTTTGGAGTTCTTTTCTGTGATTACATATATGAAATATACATTATTTAGCTATCCTATGGTTGTTAAAATAATTCCTGACATATATAAACTCCTAATTCATGTTTATATTCTGAATTACTGGGGATTGGGGCATCATATTTGTTATCTCCTTGAGGTAAAATAACATGTGTTTTGTTATATGTTTCCCAATCAGGGCTCCTGTAGTTGCTAAATGTGACCGAAGGCGAGTTCTTTCATCTTGGGTTTCTTATTGCTGTAACATGGTCCCAGAAGAGTTTCAGGTTCAATTTTCAAGTGTACGTCATCTCAGTCCACGACAATTTGTTGAGAAGCTAGCAAAAGAACTTAGTGTGCGCGGAGTTGTTGCAGGTAAATAAGTAGCTCCATAATTTACTGTCAATTTATATCAACCCCTTTCATATTAACATAATTTATTGGTATTTGTTATTTTTCCTTTAAATTAGTTGCTCCATAATTTACTGGTATTAGTTATTTTTCCCGAATAGCAACATCAACATGATTTGGTGCCTGTTTGAATAATGTTCTCCAGAAGCTTTATAGGAGAAAAAAGTTTGAAGAAAAAAAGAAATTAGCTTCTCCATATGCACTTGAGAGAGTTTTTACAAATTAGATTATACATAAGCAATTTTTTTTTTTTTTGAGAAAGCTAATTTTATTTTCCTTTCTATTTTCTTCTCTTATGAGTACTTCTAGATAAGTTTATCCAAACATGCCCTTATTCTATTATCAATATTTACTTACAAACTGAAATAGATATCTGTCCTGGAACTTCTGGTAGGTGAGAACTACCGATTTGGGTACAAAGCAGCTGGGGATGCATTGGAGTTGGTAAAGCTTTGTGAGGAGTATGGAATGGAAGCTTACATAATAAAATCTGTTATGGACAAGAATCGTTGCTCTGTAGATATGAATTCTGTTGCTAACTCCAAAGAGAGGGGACAGGTCTCATCTACACGTGTTCGTGAAGCCCTTGCCGTAGGGGACATGAGGTATGTCTCAGAGCTTTTGGGTAGGCCACACCGTCTCATATTAATGGCCACTGACCAAGAAAGATTCAGTACTGGACAGTATAAGGTATCTGCTCCTAGATCCTGCTTATTGAATCTTGCACCAAAGGAAGGTTTATATGAGAAGTGTTCACTTTTCCTTGATCAGGAAAATGTTGTGCAGTGTAGAGTAGTTATTGACAGCAAGTTTGTGCATATAGAAACAGATTACGGAGGTCTCGGTGATTTTTTTGGTTCTCTAAATTTGCAGTTCTTGCACATTGAATTTGGTGATTCCTGCACTTGATTCAGTTTAGATAATTATTTCTATTCAAATTTATAGTCTACTGAATTATAGATGATTGTTCCATCCCCCAAAGTGCTTCGAGTGAAACTTCCAAATCTTAAAGCTGATACAAGTATACATATATGTACCTTTCTTCCTTTTTGATGCCATATGCCTCCAAACTAAGTGATTAAATTTGGTCAACTCAATTGATTATTCCAGTCATTTGCGAGTCTCTTAACGTCTATGAAATTAGTCATATTTTGTTGTGAATCACTTGTTTCTGGAAATTAAGTGCTAGTTCTGGAAATTAGTTCGTGCTTGCCCAAATAAGTCTGTCAAATAAGTGAAATAACTATTATGTTGTGATACTCTTTCAAAGAACAAGTTTTGGAACAAATATAAATTTATTTTAAGGAGTATATTGGTAACATTTTTTTTTCATGAAAACTTAGTTTTATTTTCTTAACTAGTTTTTTTTTATAACAGTTGTAAGTTTTTGTTTTAGTACAAAGTTCTTTTTGATCCTTGATCTTAGAGCAACTTTAAGGCTGCATCTTAGAAGGTTGCATAGTTTGGTTTTCTAAGAATGTAATGTGATGTGTAGAATAAGGTGCTTGTAGAATTAACTTTAAGATAAATAATAATGAGTCCCAACTGAGATGAACAAGAGAGAAAAAGCAAGTTATCAGGAATAAAATTGCTCTTGGAGTCAAATCTGTCCACCAGCCACATTGATCTTTTTTTACCTTTCGGTTTGAGTATTCCTACATAAAATGAAAAACATTGGTTTAGTTTTGTTCAGCATATGCAAACTCATGTTGCTCTTGTCTAATCCTCTCAATTGAAATGCAATTGATGTAAATTTAAGTGGAAATAAAAATAAATATCTCTTTAAAAAATTGATGTAGTGAAAGAAGTGAAATAATAACACTTTTTCTAAAACACATCTTTGTTATTGTAATTTGTTAAAATTTACAGAATTTTGAGTTTTACTCTTTACTCAATGAATTCGTATTCATGAATTTGTAATTTAGCAAAAAAAATTATTTGGTAGTAAAGAGTGGTTAAAGTATATTAGAGGATGTTGTTAACGCTCTTAATGAATGAAATAAAAACAAGCATATAATGAAACAAAAGAAGAGAAAAACATTTGATTAGTGCTCACATGATCATACAATTGATACAAATGAGATAATGTAACTTATAAAAAAATAAAATAAAAAGGAGATAATGCAACTTAGCTTTTTTTCTTTTAATTATTTTTACGTTCTACATGACATTTTACGACTATATTTACTTTCTTAGAATGACTAATGATTTTATAATGTAAAGATTCATGAAAATAAAAGACAACAAAACAAGTGATGGAAAGGTAATAATGAGAGAAATGAATCAATTTTTTTTGTCCATGACGAGAAATAATCATTGATTTGTGCAAAAATAATTATTAGTAAAACTAAGGTCATAAATATAACTAACATTTTTAACTTCTATATGATATTTGAAACTCCATAAGTAAAAAAATACTTATGTTTATAAAGACTTTTCTTTTTAATAAACTCCTCTGTTAAGAATGATAAAATTAAGCAAAGTGGCACAAATCCTGAAAGTGAGATAAATAAGTAAAAAAATGAGAAAATTTAGATTTAGTATCAATTTTTTTTATAGAGAATTTGGTATCATTATACCATTAAAAAATTAGTCAAAATATATTTTTGGTATAAGTTGAAAGTTTGAGTTTCAAAATTTCAAAATGCACTTTCCTACATCTAAATCCTCATCCTCATCTCTATAATAGTATTTCCCATTTCTGATCCAAATTCGACACTACAAATCCTAAACCTTTAAATCTAAACTCAATTGCTTTTGTGAGGAACAACTTCTCATAATTCATAATTTCGACAATAGCGTCAAGTTTAACCTCAAGGACCATTACTTCTACGAGGTCTCCATTGGTTGTCACCTCACAATGGAGGAGTTTGACTTCATGCTTGGCTACTCCTTCTTTATGAAGGAGTTCATGCATCCTAAGAGCATCCACCACTCTATTGATACCACTATTATTGCCACTTTTTCCAAAGCTAAGAAGAACTATGTTGATTACCTCATCAAGATTGTCGCTACTTATCACAATCGTCGTAGCAGATGAGCGAGACATCTCATTGGTGAAGGAAGACCAATGGTTTAACTCTGTCACCAATGACAATTAGGATACATATAAAGAGTATGATGAAGTTACAACAGTAAAGTGCGTTTTGAAATTTTTTCTAAAAACAATTAAAATCAATAGTGGACCATAAAGATTATTTTTAAAGTATTATAAAATATTAGGGATGAAACATCAACATTTTTTTTACGAAAACTAAAAATGAAAAAATAATAAATTATATGTATGAAAATTATATTTAAACTTATAATTAAATAATACTTTTAGGAGTATTTGATAGAAATATTCTTTTTGAGTTTCTTAATAATCTTTGGTTTGGTAGGACATATTTTCACAAATTTAGCATTTTTATGAATGATTCTTTTAATTATGTTTTCTTAAAAGTTCCTCGTATTTTTAAGAATATTTTAAAGATATTAGATACAATTATGAAATTTTAAAGAAACATAATTTTAAACTTCGAAGGATGAAAATAAAATTCCATACAAGAGACCCATAAAAGTCATATTTAATATAATTTTTTATTACACTATCAAATATGTCAAAATTAAATAGAGACTATAAAATTACTATATTTATTATTTTGAACACTGTAAAGTAAAAATAAATTGTAAAAAATTCAAATGTTTTCGAAAATAATTATTTTTTTGGTTACATAAAAAAACATTATTAATAATCAAGATAAAAAAATACACGCTAATCATTTAAAAGAATACAATTATCAATACATATTTTATTAGAGCGAGGATAAAAAGAATGAAAATTTTCACCCGAGAAACGACGTCGTGTGCCACTTGGTTCTCTAGAACCGCGGAGCGTGAATCGTAGAGAAGAGACGACAAATCGGTGACCGGAAGCACTGAGCCTGTGACGGCAGCCACCGTCTTCGTCGCCGGTGGATTCCGCTTTCATCCACTTTCACTCCCTTGCATCTGAATTTGTAAGATATGCTATGTTTTGCATTGTTTTTATGAATGAATGAAATGAATTACAAAATGAGTTTGTCAATCAGATTGAGGGCAACTGTGCTTCAATCACAATCATGCATTCATTCTTTAAAATTGATTTTATTCTTTTGCAAAGCAAACAAGCTAAATAAAGATGCTAAAGTGTAATATTTATCAATTGTAATTGTAACTAAGCTCTTTGTAATAGTCTTTAATATGCTGAAGTTTGTCCTCTCAATTAGGTGAAGCTGTGTTCCTTCAACATAAGACTTCTTGCTTGTTGCTAGTGTGCAAGAAAAACTTTGAAAAGTAATGATATTTGCACATAGAAATCTTGCACAATTTTGTTTTTAGACAAGAAAAACACGTTTCAATGTTATCTACCTATCTATCTTTCTTTGCTAAAAAATGCAAAGTGTAATCCCTTCGGTGCATTTGGTTTTGATGTCTGGGGAATTTTGTGGACTTGTCTATTGGAGCAAATAATTAGAAGTAGTCAGTCCAACAGGAATACATTTCAGAAATGCAAAAAGGAAGATATGTCTCCTAATAAGTTGAATGAAGATGTGAACAATCCTTTCCAACCAAATGCACCGAAACGATTACAATGCCACAATTTGTTTGCTGCTCTTTTGTTGCCAAAGCTTCAATTCTAAGTAGCCAAAACTGTGCTAGAGTAGAAACTCACCCTAGGCTGCTCGATTCCACTAAATTATGAGATTCATTTGCCTTGCATTCCTATGAGAAAATATAATTTAATTAATTTTTATTTTTCTTGCAGCTGCAGAGTGAGTTGCAGTTGCAGGACCTGCATAAAATGCTTCTTCGGAGGATTTTTACTGCATGTCCTCAATCAAAGAGGATGTTCAGCTCTTCTGTTAGCCACGGCTATGAAAGTGCTATTCAAGAACTCAACAAGGTAAAGCCTCTCTTTGCTGTGTTCTGCTAGAGGTTTAGAGTTTAAGGTTTTCCTTTTCTGTTTTTGCCACAAACATTGGCATAATATATTCCTTTATTACTACAGAGGACTTGTTTTAAATTTGGATTTGCAAAATTGTGATTAGATATTTATTATTTTTTTATGAAATTTTATACCTATTTAAATTTAAATATCTTATACCTATCATATTCTATATATTATTAGTATAATTGTATTGCCGTTGTGTCAGATATACGTTTCATATTTGTGCATCATAGAATCTAGCACAATGCAAAGAGATTAAGTTCACTTGCTGGATGTTTATATCCTTTTTCATTTATCATAAATCCATTTGAATGCGTAGCTGGTTCGGATGCTGTAATGTCATGTCAAGTGCTGACAAAGTCATTAAAATCTAACCTAATTTCTGCGTGATTTCTATTTGCTATCAATATCTACTATGAAGGTTTTGTTCCACCTGTACAGAGAAATGTTGGTAGAATTACCGTAATCCATGTTTAGTTACTTATTCCTTTCAGGAAATGGAATTGGTATTTGGTGAACCTCCTGCAAATACACTAGCTAGCTCTGCAAGCAATAGTCATTTGAACAATGAACCCCAGCTGTCATCTCAAAACATAGGTGTAAGTTCTTCTGAATTGACTCATACTGGCAAATCAGGGGAAGCTCAAATGGTAGACGTGTCTCCTAAAGAAAGTAGTAAAAGAACTGCCATTGCTGTTTGCAAGGTAATTCTTGGAAAGAAGGTGTTTGATTTGGTCTTGGCCAATCAAATGGCGAAAGGAGATGTGCTTACTGTGGCGAAAATTGCTGGCATAACAGCAGCAAAGCAAACTAGCAACCTCATTCCGTTGTGCCATAACATAAGCCTTTCACACGTGCAAGTAGATTTGAGATTGAATCATGAAGACTTCAGTCTAACAATAGAAGGGGAAGCTGCATCAACAGGTAAAACCGGGGTTGAGATGGAAGCAATGACAGCAGTGTCTATTGCAGGCTTAACGGTGTATGATATGTGTAAGGCTGCTTCAAAAGATATAGCTATTACGGATATAAGACTTAAGCATAAATCTGGTGGGAAAAGTGGAGAGTACTGGTGGAGACAATGATTGTTTTATACGCATTTTAATGACACCACCAAGAATGCTATTCTTCTGTTAGTTGTTCTCAGCTGCATAGCTCTCTATTCATGATTTCCCTGTAATGAATGCGTGAATACTGGGGCTACCTTTGATGAAGTACCTTCTAATAGTTGCGCTTTCACTTGTCTCATTGTAGGCATTGTCAAATTTTCGCAAGTGATATAGGTTTCAGGTCAAATTTCTTCCACTAAAAAAAACAAAAAACAGTTTCAGGCCAAATGCCTTTCTTTAACTTAAATTTAATATAATTATAATTTATTATTTGTGTAAAAGAAATACTATTTTCATTTTTTATTTTTATTTTTAGGGGCTTATTTGGATAGGGTGGAAGAGGTAAGGGTCCGCTTATTTATGTTTTTTATTTTCTATTTCCATTTTTTGTTTATATTTTTTAATTAAAAAATTGCAATATAGTTTTCGATCTATTTGCTGTTTTTAAAGATTTATACAAGAAATATTGAAAGTATTTTTGTTTGTTTTATTCTAACTTCTTATGAGTCTAGATAAGTTAATTTTTAAATATTATCCTATTAACGCTCTTAATAATAAAATTAAATTATTAGGTGATAATTTATTCTTGAAAAATGTTATTTTTTTATAATAAAATATACTACAACTTTTATACTTTTTCTATTGAAATTAATTTTTAAAATAAGTGTTATTTTAATTATTTTATATAATTAATACTAATTACTTTTATTTTTATTTTTATTATTGTGTTAAAATTGAGGTTAATTTTTTAAAACATATTATTCTCTCTTATCTATTAATTATTTTTTAATTAAAAAAAACTTAAAACGATATTTACTAAGAAGAAGGTAATTGAAAAGGAAGAGAAATATAAGATGTAATAAATCATGTGATAGAAAGAAGTAGAACTGAAGAATATTATTGTATAAATTATTTATGAGTTGTTATATAAATATTACATTTTTTTATTTTATCGTATATTTTTTTTATTATGAACTAGAAGGATTGAGATATTTAATATTTTTAATAATTACACGTAAATATATATTAAAAATTATAGATAATTATTCAAAAATAATATAATATTTTTTGAATTAAAAGGATATAATAATTTACTACAAAATAAAAATCAAAAGAATGATTATAAAAATATATTCATTTTATAGATATAAATATAGATAAACAAGCTAAAAAGCTTAGTTATGGTGAATATTTAAGAGATCGGTTACTTGAATGATATCATATCACATTAAGTTTGAATGCTTATAAAACTTTAAGCTCATATCGTTTAAAAAATTGATAGTAAGATTTTGTCCTCATGTAAAACGAAAAAATCATGGTAGTTGTCGAACTTCCAAGGAAGCAAATTAATTGACCAGATGTCATTGATTGGACAACTTAACTTGCTTTGAAATTTGACTACTCTCTTTCCTCATGAAAAGGGTAGGTAGTAGAGTTCTACACTTCTACAATTCAACGATACTTTAATTTTATTTTTTTTTTCCATGGACTTTTATTTTGTTTTAAAAATGATTATGAATTTTGAATTTTCTTAACCCCTGTATAGGGTAGGCACGCGCTTATTTGACCAACCGATATATTAGTTGATTTGATAATTACAGTTACAAAGATCACATATACAGTAGCATATAAAAAAATAAAAATAAAAAACACATGTGATCTTTGAGGGGCAAAATGGTCCTTTCAAGGTCTCACCCCTGTTTTCTCGGAACCACAAACACACCAAACAACAATCCTTTGGTCAACTTCAATACACCACGTGGCTGAATCTTGTTGGTCCATTCTCCTTTAGAATCAGAAAAAAATTAACCTTTTCTTCCTTTCAAATTTTAATTTTTGTTGCAGAATCACGTGGAGGGTTTAAACCTAATTGGATACCCAATTCACAAAAGGGAAGCTTCGGGGTTTACTGTTGCATCCCAATCGGGCTGTCAAAACGACGTGACGTTGACAGCCCGGTTCTCTGGAGATAGAAACAACATATTCATTCAATCACATTCCCAGTTTTCAGGTACCATTCCTATGGAATAATCTTTTCCCTAACCGAATATCCTATTCACATTCAATTTTATTATTTATTGTTCTCTGCTCCGCGTATTTTCTACGTGTTATTTGTGCGGTGCACGTTTTTCTCTCTTCCTTCCAATTGGGTACTATACCCCACCTACCCTTCTTAATGATGCTTCTTGTTTTCCTTAAAGCATTGTTCTTTCGTCTAACATTTCTCATTGACGCGTGATTCCCATTTTGGGTCTGGAATTTTTATTGTAGATTACAAGGGTTGCTGCTTATAGGTGTTATGGTGTTGTTATTGGTTTGAAAGAGCTTCTGCAATGGGTTCGTTTTCCGGAGCCATTCAGCGACCACTTGTGGCCGCCACCGCCGTCGCCCTCGCTTCTTTCTCCGCCGATATCTCCGATAAATTGCCATTCCGTGGATCCTCGCGTGATTGTGATTGTTCTACCTCCAATTTGGTAAATTCTTCGCCTTCTAACATAATACAAGGATCAGATTCGCCGTGGGTTTCTCATATTTCGGACTCAAAACTTGCTGACCTATCTTTTGTGACCCGAATTCCGGTGCCTGTGCCTAATGTTCAATTCCGGGTGCCAAGTTTAGGGCACAATTGTGGTTCAAATTTGTACCATTCTTCGGTTGCTTCGTCACCGCTTCTTCGGAATTTGTTTCACTCTGCTGACTTGCCTAGGGTTCCAGGGCCTGCTGCATGTTTCGATGGTGTCTCCAATTCAAGTTCTGAGGTCATGTATAAATGGCATTTGCCGGAGGCAAATGCTTTAGGTGATTCAAATTGTTCATTGACAAAGTCAAGGACAGTGGTGGTTTTGCTTGGATGGTTGGGAGCAAGGCAGAAACACTTGAAGAAGTATGCGGAATGGTACACTTCAAGGGGGTTTCATGTCATTACTTTTACATTTCCAATGGGTGAGGTCCTGAGTTATAAGCCTGGAGGTAAAGCTGAGCAAAATGTTCATTTGCTTGTGGATCACTTGGCTGATTGGTTAGATGGGGAGAGTGAAAAAAATCTTGTCTTTCATACTTTCAGCAACACTGGATGGTTAACGTGAGTGCAGAGACATAAAATTTGGCTGTGTTTTTCTTTTATGGATGCCATTAGTTTGTTGCTTGATTGTTTTGGCGTTCATTTTTGCAGATATGGTGTTATTCTTGAGCATTTTCAGAAGCAGGATCCATCCGTCATGGAAAGGATCAGGGGATGCATTGTAGATTCTGCACCTGTTGCATACCCTGACGCTAAGGTAAATGCTTAGCTATTGTGAAACTTGATGAATGTTGTTGTTTGTTGTGTATGTATATTTCCTATGCTGTTTTTTTTTCTTATCTAGTGTTCATGCTATTATTGCTAGCTGTCCTTTATAATTTCTTTGCTATAATATATATCATCACCGTCTAAATGATCAAATTAATTGCCCTGGTGTTTCGATATTATGCTTGATTTCTCTGATATTTCGGGAATTGAGACATTGGCATTTGAACATTTGGTTGAGATCCTTGACTTCTCGGTTTTATGTTTTGGGTTTTGATAAAAATGAGTTAACTGATACATGATTTCTGTTACTCTTTTCACTACTAATACTGGTTCTAGAAATGTTTTATTCTAGAATAGTAGATATGATTTTAATTATCTGATTATCGTTTCAGGTCTGGGCCTCAGGTTTCTCTGCAGCGTTTCTCAAAAAGAATAGTGTGGCTACAAAAGGACGTGTATTTTCCAATGAATCTGGCATTAAAGTATCAATTGGCAGCGAAGATGATTTAGGACTCAAACCTGCAGCAACAGAAGCAGCTTTGCTATTAATACTAAAGAAATTTTTTGAGGTCATTCTGTATCTTCCTTCAGTGAATAGGTAACGACTCTAAAATTATTCTTCTTCTACTTGGTTATTTTAAAAATGATGATATTTCATCCCAACTCTTGCTTTCCTTGGATTCTTCTAGAAAAATTGCTGTTTTTTTAGCGGGTATTTGACCATTGTTGGTAAGATCAAGTTGATAATAAATTGTCATGACCCTTGAATGGTTGAGCAATATGATTGTATTGAGTCTATTGACAATTTAGAGATTCAAACGTTCTCACACCGGAGTATATAAGCCATTGATGATTGTATCATTGCTGAAATTCTGAATAGAACTTGAATAATAATAACTACGGCAATATGTTCTTTAGAAAAGTCACATCTTGCAATTCCCTTTCCAAAATGTAATGTTATACATGCAAGATTTTAGTAAAATCCATAACTGGAAATAGCAGAACATCCCTTATTGAACTATGTTATGGTCTTTTGGTGCTAATTCACAAAATATGACCAATCATCAATAAATTTTCAATATTTGTCTAGGTTAGTTGGCTGTTTTTATCTAAGTACTTATCTTTCTGTAGTAAGACAACTATGGTCCTAACTAAATTGATCTTGTTTAAATGCAGGAGGCTCTCTGATGTTATGAGCAGATTATCGACAAAGCAACCAAGCTGTCCGCAGTTATACATGTATAGCACTGCTGACAGGGTTATTCCTGCTGATTCAGTGGCTGATTCAGTGGAATCCTTTGTAGAGGCACAGCGTAGGGCTGGACATGATGTGAGGGCTTGCAATTTTGTCTCCTCACCCCATGTTGACCACTTTAGGAATGACCCTAAATTGTATACATCTCAGCTCAATCAGTTTTTAGAGGAATGTGTTCTTGACCGTTGTAAATCTTTCTAATTCGTTGCATTCCTTGTCTTATACAACATATAGTTCATTCATTTTTATTTTTATTTTTATTTTTTTATTTTTGAAAGCAGTCATTCAATTAATTGATGGCGGGTTAGTTCTGTATCCAAAGTCAACCACATCAAGGGGATTACATAATTGTTCCGTCACAGCTTATAATTGATTGTACATTGATATATTGATAGTGCAAATGAAGACATTGCAACTTTCTCTTCAATTGTTTATCTTATGTTTGAGCTGGAGCAAAAGTGGCTGATATTTGTAAGTTCAACAATATATTATCTTGTTAGTTGGTGGAAAATATTTTCATCATTGATATCTTAATGCGAAAAATGAAGTTAATGTGATTGAGATTATAAAAATATAAAATTAGAAAAAGCATGAGGGGTTTGTTACATATTTAAATAACATTTAGAAAAGATTTTATAAAGTTTATTTGAACTTCCATGAAAATAGTGTTAGATTTGATTATATGAAAATGCCGTGCACATGTAATCAGACTTCAAATATACGGCTCTAGCTCTCATAACAAGTCGTCAAGCATAATACCTGTGTTGATGTATTTAGAGTGAATTATATTGGGGTCAATAAATTTGTTGTGTTAATGTATTTAAAATTAGAAAATATAGAAGTTAAATTCCACTTTATATAAAAAAAAATTATGATCAAAGTATTTTTTTTTGAGGTTATTATTCAATGAAAATATTTTTAGCTGATTCTCTTATATGCATTTTTTATAATTTATTTTTTTAATTTTTATTTTTAGTTATATATACATATATGTATATTTAAATACCACTGATAAAAAATAATTTTATTTTACAATATAAATTATTTATTGTAAATGTAAAATATAATGCATATATTTAAAATATTTATTTATTACAATTTTAAAAACATTTACTTTTTTTTTTATATAAATTATAACTATATAAAATAAAAAAAGATAATAAAAATTATAACTAAAATCATAATAAATATTATTAAATTAAATTTAGTATATATTAAAAATTTTAATTTAATGATCACATCTTTAAAGTTAGATAAAAAAATATAAATATTAATTTATCTAATATTTATAAGTGTAATTATTATCAATTCCTCTTATCTATATTTATATCTATAAATAGAATATATATTGATAATCATTTTTTTTCTCTAATAGATTATTATAGTAAAAAAGAATCTTTTATATTCTTTTTGTGAAAAAATTTTAATTTAATGATCACATCTTTAAAGTTAGATAAAAAAATATAAATATTAATTTATCTAATATTTATAAGTGTAATTATTATCAATTCCTCTTATCTATATTTATATCTATAAATAGAATATATATTGATAATCATTTTTTTTCTCTAATAGATTATTATAGTAAAAAAGAATCTTTTATATTCTTTTTGTGAAGAAAAAATTAATTTATGTAATAATAAAAAAGATCCAGACGAAATTGCCCCTGTAAAGCTAAGGCAAGAGGGAGACGAAGGGGGGTTTTGACGTAAATTGAGAGTGACAGTGGGGTAGGTGCTTTTCCTGAATCTACGCTAGGCCGTTGACAATGATTGTCTTTGGTGCACCAAATGACTATTGACTATTGACTATTGACTATTGACTATTGAGGCTTAGCCTTAGCCTGCTTCCTTTTTACATCACTCAACCAACACTTCTCTTCTCTGTCTCTTCTTATATCATTAATCCCCAAATCCCCCGTTAGGGTTTCCTCTCCATCAATGGCTTCCAATTCCATCCTTTGCATAAACGACGTCTTAACCGACGACGAGCTGCGTTTCATTCTTGGCCGCGTCGATACCGACAAGGACAAGGAAACCTTCGGGTTGGTATGCAAGCGATGGCTTCTGTTGCAGAGCACTGAAAGGAAGAAGCTTGCCGCACGTGCGGGCCCCCACATGCTCCGCAGAATGGCCGATAGGTTCACACGCTTGCTCGAATTGGACCTTGCCCAGTCCGTTTCTCGCTCCTTCTATCCCGGCGTCACCGATTCCGACCTCGCCGTCATCGCCAACGGCTTCACATGCTTGAAGATCCTCAATTTGTATAATTGCAAAGGTCCATTTCTTCTCCTCTATCTCTCATCTCCCAATTTTACTTTCACGTAGACGCTACTTATAAACTAAGTTTTTTTTTTCTCCAAGTAAAATAGTCATTTTGGGAAAGCTTCATATTAGTCACTTAAACTAAGAAAACGTCTAATAAGTTGTCAAGATACAAATTGATAATCATATTATTTCAAAATTAGAAGAAAAAAAATTGTGACTAAATTGATATATAATTGTAGATACTAAAATGATATTAAATTGTTAAATTTAGGAGTTTATTTGACATTATATTTAGTTTCAGGAAGTAATGCGATGAAGCTTACTACTTTCAGGATTAAAATGAATATTTTACCTAATAGTGAGAGTTAGAGTAGAATGCACAATATTTTAAGTTTGAATCTGGTGCTCTTTGTCATTGTAATTCTGATAGATAAAAAATGTATTTTTTTCCAACTTCATTTGGATATTTTGTTATTTAAAGTGTCATGTTATCTAATTTGAGTGATGATTAAGGACCGAGGTTTTATATTACATTTGCAGTTTTGTATGGAAAATTGTGACTTGTTTAATTTGGGGGGTGCAAGTTTTATGATTGACAGGGCATTTTATTGTTTGTGTATACAGGAATTACAGATGCTGGAATGAAAGCGATTGGTGAAGGTCTTTCCTCATTGCAGTCGTTGGATGTGTCTTACTGTAGAAAGTTGACTGACAAGGGATTATCAGCTGTTGCCAAAGGCTGTTGTGACTTGCGGGTATTGCATATGGCTGGTTGCAGATCTGTTACTGATGCTGCATTAGAAGCTCTCTCCAAAAACTGTTCTAACTTAGAGGAGTTAGGGTTGCAAGGCTGCACAAGTATTACTGACAATGGACTCATAAACCTTGCAAGTGGCTGTCCACGGATCAGGTTTTTAGACATCAATAAATGCAGTAATGTCAGTGATGTTGGGGTTTCTAGTATTTCTAGGGCTTGTTCGTCTTATCTCAAGACATTGAAACTGTTAGATTGCTACAAAATTGGGGATGAAACTATATTATCCCTGGCCGAATTCTGTGGTAATCTGGAGACTTTGATTATTGGTGGTTGCCGGGATGTCTCTGCTGATGCGATAAAGTCGCTGGCTACTGGGTGTGGAAGCAGCCTTAGAAGCTTGAGGATGGATTGGTGTCGAAACATTTCTGATTCTTCATTGAGCTGTGTTTTGAGTCAATGCAGAAACCTTGAGGCACTGGATGTTAGTTGCTGTGAAGAGTTGACGGATGCTGCTTTTCAGCTTATAAGCAATGAGGAGCCTGGATTGAGTTTGAAGAGTTTGATGGTTAGTTGTTGTACGAAGATCACAGTAGCGGGTATAGGCATTATTATGGATAAATGCACTTCTCTGCAATACTTGGATGTGAGGTCATGCCCGCATATTACAAAGGCTGGCCTCGATGCTAATTTCCATTTTCCTGAATGCTGCAAGATTAATTTTAATGGTAGCATCAGTGAGCCTGTTGTGCTTCTTTGATATTATAAATATTTTAAAATATTGGCTTCATCGTTGTGTAAACTTTATTCATAAGGCGTGCCTTTGTAAATTTGATGAGAATATGATTTGTTCTGGTGATGGTAGTCTTCTTGTGCAACCCATGTATCATGAATGTCACTGCAATGAATGTTATTGGATGTATCATATTTTATTGGTTAGTTCGGTTGTAAATTTGAAGAGGACAATCGTTTTTCTTTTTTGTATTTTCCCCTCTCCTGCTTCTACAAATTTGCACTTTTCACTTGATTAGCCCCGAATATGAGCATAGAAACACCATATTTTGTATTACAATTACTTGTTACCATTTGATCTGCATATGAAATTAAGAAAGACAGAAAAAAGGTGTTTCTATTTATTAGTATACCATTAAGTCTAAACTTGAGAATTCAAGGAAATTATTTATATTCCATGCCACTAAGTGTTGATGAGAAAGTGGGGAGTAGGATCAATAAGAGTGATAACATTAAAACTATTGGTTATAGGAAATAGTCTTGAAATTTAATAAATAAATAAAAAATCGTATTCGTGGGTAATGTTGATAAAACTAAAATTTTACTTGAGATTATTTAATATTTATTTTATTTTAAATTTATGGTATATAAAATTTAATTAATATAATTTTGTAATTTTTTGTTTTTTTTTTTTGTAAAAATAATATATAATTAATTTCTAGGTGGGTATGAATATATTCGATATTCGATAGGGACAAAAATAAGACATAAATTTCACATTATTTAATAATGAGGTTGGTGAGTTAAATAAGTTGACTCACTTAAATTAAAAAAATTATTGAACTTTATAAAAAAAAATACATATTATAATCTTATATTTTTAAGTTACAATAATTATTATAATTTATAATCAATATGTACAAAATTTAGTCAATGATATAAATCTATAATCGTATAAATTAATATTTGAGAACCTAAAAAATAAAATAAAATAATGAAAAAAAAATAAAAAATATACTAGATGAGTCAATCCAATTCATTACGGGTTTGTAGTGAGTTAGGTTATAAGTTAGTTGAGTCAAGTTTTTTCTATAATTGGAATAGGTCAAATTTTTTTTTCCTAACCCAATTCAAACTTGTAGTAAATCGAATTGGTTCATAAATTTTATCAATTTTAATTAAAACTCGCATTTCCTTTGTCCAGAATCATTCTTCTAAATATTCAAAATAAAAAGTGTTGATTAATGTAAAATAAACTCATTTAAACTGATTTATACATTTAGTGGTCCATAATATTATTTGAACTGATTTATACATTTAGCGGTACACAATATTATTTTAATAATTAAAGTAGGGTAAATACGCATTTGATCTCTCTTCTTATGTTTTAGTTTTAATTTGATCCTTTAAGTTTCAAAGGTTTTATTTTATTTTAGGACAAAAACAAAATTATTGATTCTATTAAGTTTAGCTGCAAGTTTTCTTGTAGGTGCAGCTAATGTATCACATCTATCACGTATGTTGTCAGTGCACTAAATGGGAAATGGATCATCTAGTGGAAGAAAAAAGTTGTTATCTGAAGTGTTAATATCCTAAATGTGAAGTGGATCATCTGGATGCAAATTTTATTGTTTATTTTTTAAAATCCTAAATTTGAAATATATTGATGAAATTTATTAAAGTACTAGAATTTTAGTGTATGGTAATATAACAACATGGAATTTGAAGAGTAGATTTGTTTTTGGGCTGGTCCTGGTGCGTTAATATTACAATATGGTAGAAAAAGAAAAATGGATGATTAGAAAAGTTGAATTTTGGTAACTGAAATAGTAGAGATTTGGTTAGTATTTTTCTAATTGTTTATCGGCGAAAATGAACCGCTAAATAAGACCCACTAATTAACAAAATAACGAAAATGAGAGAGATCCTTTACCAATTTGAAGGATAATAAATAAAATACAAGTAGACAAGTATTATTATTATCAAATTTATTCTACCTTCCAAATCCAAACAAACCCTGCCTTATCTCCGCTCCTTCCATCTCCGCCGTACCATGTCGGAAGCACCGTCTCAGCCACCGCCTCCAACCGCCGAAGCGCCGCCGCAGCCATACTGGTGCTACCACTGCGAGAAGCGCGTCTCCGTCGAAACGCTCGCCAATCTCCCCGACGTCGTCTGCGGCGAGTGCAAGAACGGCTTCGTCGAATCCATCCCAACGCCCTCTCGCTCTCGCTCCCCTTCCTCCTCCTCCGAGGACCCCTACCTCGGCTCCCAGTTCCTCCAGGTCCTTCGCCTAATCGCGCAATCCGCGCGTGACGACGACGCCTCGCCTCCGCCGCCGCCCACGCGCTCTCCGGAGACCGATTTCCTCAGGATCGAGCTCGGCGGCTGGGACAACGACGACGAAAACGACAACGACAACGACGACGACGACGACAACGACGACGCCGGCGCCGAGTTCGAGGAGCACGAGGAGTCGGAGGAGCGCTCCGGCAACGACGATCCGCACGGAGACGACGAGGATCTGAGGCGGAGGAGGCGCGAGCTGCTTCGCCTTCGGATTAGGGATTTGGCGACGCGCACGAGGAGCATGCGCAACCGGATCTTGGATTGGGCCGAGATTCTGATGGGCCTGGAGGACAATTCCATCGAGTTCCGCCTCCAGGTGCCGGAATCCGACCGCTACGTCGGGAATCCGGAGGATTACGTCGACGCTGCGGAGTACGAGGCGCTGCTGCAGACACTGGCGGAGAGCGACGGCGGAGGGAGGAGAGGAGCGCCGCCGGCGTCGAAGTCGGCGGTGGAGGCGTTGCCGACGGTGAAGATTGAAAGTGAAGGCGTGGTGTGCGCTGTGTGCAAGGATTTGCTCGGCGTTGGAGACGCGGCGAAGAGATTACCGTGCGGGCATGAGTATCACGGAGATTGCATTGTTCCTTGGTTGAGTTCTAGAAATTCTTGCCCTGTTTGCAGGTTTGAGCTACCAACGGATGATAGGGAGTACGAGGAAGAGAGAGTGGTTAACTCTGCTTCTTCCAATTCTAACGGAGCTTCGAGTTCGGGTGGTGGTGGTGGTGGTGGTGGTGGTGGAACTCACATTGTTTGATTCCACTTGGTATGTTCCGTTCTGCTCTGTTCTGCCATTTGTGTAATATATTTCGTGGTTTCTGAATTTCTTTTTTGGCATTAGTGGATTTTCCTCAAAGCTTGCGCCATGTTGTTATTTATTTATGTAGTCGGCTTCTTAGCTCTCGGATGCTAAGATACTTGTATATATCATTTGAATCAATGTGATCATATCACACTACCTCAATGGAATTTGCACTTTCTCCCTGTTATGCTTGTCCCTTGTTGTAAGCTTTTTGGCACACAACGTGTTTTGTTTATTTGGTGGAATTGGTGTTGGGGTTGCAAACGAGATCATTCATCTCAGGAGAAACATCAATTCTTCTGTGGAATTGATTTTGTTTTTCATGAGATGAATGACATTGTTGTTTCATGGAAGAAGAAATAGTGTTTAGGGCTTAGGAGAGGGAAAGAAAGGAAGAGTGCAGGACAGAGCTTAAGGCAGTGTCCTTAAATTTTTTGCACTACTACATGGATAATTTCTGAATTTCGCTGGGATTATCAGCTGTATTTGGTTTTCATTTATGAAGAACCAATTCTTGATACCTCCGTAACTCAGAAGTGATCCATGTTTGGTATAATGGCTAGTTTTACATCGGCTGCCGAAGAACCAACATAATCTATCCCTTAAGAGATGCATAAGCAAAAATTGACCTCCAAAGATTCACTCATGAGAATCAAGGTAGTAGCTGGAAGATAAAGCTATCACTTTCATATAATTAATCTGGAGTTATTTGATTTGGATTGTGTGTTCTGTGAACATCTCATTTCATGACGGTCCCTGTTCTAATTAGCTTGAATGAGAATCTTAATTTTGAACTTAACTTTGGTACAAGATACTTGAGTGGCCTGGAAAGAGGAACAACATCAAAGTGCTGCCGAAAATACACGAGATGAACTTGTATAAACAATTGCACCAATTTGGTTGAGAATATCAACATGTAGAGCATTGTCAATTAAGGTGTCAAGATTTCAGGATATTATTTTTCCCATCTTTATAGGATAGCAGTGTAACATTTAATTTTTTTTTTTCTCTCTTTTTTACTTGAAAAGACAGGCAGATCCTTAAATAACCTCTCTGGACTAGATATTGGATTTGGCCCTGCATTTTGGAGGGGAGAGAGGAGTTCGAAACTCGTTCTACCTACCACGCTTTATTTTTTGTTCCTTTGCGATGATTCAACTGAGTCTGATTTGATTGATCACTTCAGTAATTCTGCTTCAATTCACTTGAGTAGTTAGTTTATCATCTTGTAACTGACACATAGGCATAGTTGAGGAAATTCATTGTCTGAACATGTTGCACTTGAGGGAGTTGGGGAAGTCATGGATTGGTTCTTTTCCCGCATTTCTTCATTTTGTTCTCTATGGAAGATGGTTGCTTTCTTTTCTGTCATGGGAAGTTTTCAGCCGGAAATAAATCCCTAGGCTTTGTCAAAATTAGTTCTCTTTTATTTTATCAAACTGTGTATAGATTTTTTTTACCTGAACTGCTGTATCGGGGATTTTTGTAAGCTTCTTTCTGATTGGAGAGTTAAAGGCTGTGAGAAAGGAATGAAAAGTTGCCTTTAATTATTTATTTGTTTGTGGTGGTTAAAGTTACCTTAGGTTGTTTGTCTTGTATTGTTTCCCAAAACAGAAAACTACAAGGGGTGTGAGGCCCATCATTGTAGTGTGCAACTTCGTGTTGTTTGTATGGAATAAATGTGCTGTGAATGGAGATAAGATGTACAATTTATAACTAGTTTTATAGGAGAAATGAAAACGTGATTATTAAATTTATATGATAGACATTGATTTTCTGACGGGTTAACATGAGAAATTATAATAAACCATCATGTAAGTTGTCATACATATAAACTCTTTGATAACCCTGTATTATGTTTTTTTTTTAATTTTTGGTGATCAATTACCCTTTCAATTTTTTTGGCGGATTTGTGTTGATGATACACGGAAATTTGAAGGATTAAATTACGAGTTATGTTAAATTGATTTGACCATAACGTGACAAATATCTATATAGCATGTTGTCTTGACTCAACGTGCAAAAATGTCCACATTCCGCACGTGTCATGGCGAGAATTGAATTCGCTCTACCTGACAAAACTTGATGATGACGGTCAATTTTGTTAATACAACATAATTCCATTTAAATAAATGATGCCATGCTTCGCTAAACAAGATGTACCTAGTTTTGTTTTTCTCACTTTCGACAGAACAATTGACTAATCATATTTGAAACAAACGATACTATAATTTGCTTGTAAGACATTTTGATAAGGTCCTTGTTATCTTTAGTAAAAACCTAAAATATTACGTTGAACAAGATTATCATTGATTATTAGAATAAAAATTGAAAAGTTTAAAATAATCTATTATGAGAAACACAAGGGATAAAGGAATAGCATCATCATCTTTGAACTTTTACAATGTATGTCATACTTTCGAGAGATGCTACTTCTTCCGAATGAAGAATCCGAAATTTTTTACAAAACCATACAAAGATAACATGTGTTAACTTATTTAAAATAAAATATTTATTTATATTTAACTTCTCAACTGATGCATACAGTCGGAAGATGTTTCGAAAATTGAGTTTCGGAGCCTGTATCATTTTTCTATTCATTTTCATCTCCTTAAATATTGTTTAGTGTCATTTAGCTTTATAATTTGGCTGGTTAGTTTTTTCATGCCGGATAATCTCACGTCCTCTTGTAATAAAATAAGAAATCAAGTGAAAATAAAGAGACAATTTACATATAAATTATAATATAAAGCTCACTTTCAAAATCTTTGCGCATGTAATTAGGCGTAAAATTGTGTTTTGAAATTGAAAATGAAATTCTAATCATCACGTTTAGAGTTATAATTAATCCTCCTTAAACCGTAATTTCATTTTTAAATTGCAATTTTTAATTGTATTTGTAAAAAGTGTAACTGTTTCCCTTTTTTTAGTTGCTTCCTCGCCTCTACTATAAGCTATAAATTAATTTAACTGATTCTAAACCAATTCTAATTTTCTAATTTTAGAAAAAAAAATTAAATTATTTTTGTTTCTTTTATAAACTATAAATTACAATTATAATTTCATTTAGGAAACGACTTCTATTTTTTGTTTCTTTTGGAACATGTAATTTATACTTTAGCTATAAGATAAATTTTGCAATCATGAAAATTAGCTTCATTTCCCATCTAAGTAAGTGAAAATTCACCATCGCAAAGCTGTTTATATCAAATCTGCCAAATGAAGATTGATATGCTATTTTCTTGATGATCTACATTAAAGACCGAAGCTTCTGGACTGGATCACTCACTCATACCTAATAGAAATACTAGAAGGCATCAAAATTGGAAAGGGTCAAAACAAATCATAACAAAGTAATGAAGCACAAGGGTCAACTGCTTCTCTACTTATTGCTTAGTAAGCAGTAACCCAATTAGCTAAGGAAGCATGAACCATATTAGATATTAGGTTGGCTGTGAATGTCATTTGGTGGGGTAACAAACTCTTTAAACTAGTTGAGGAAAGGGGAATGCCGAATCATTCCCTCATCATCCGATCCTTTTGCCCCACATATTAACCATTTTTCTACTATAGAAAATCCATGTTATAAAAAAGACAAAACACCTTCACCCGACATTATATACTTACAAAAAATAAAAGACGCGTCTCAACTGTACAAGGGGAAGGCCGAATCATTCCCTCATCATCCGATCCTTTTGCCCCACATATTAACCATTTTTCTACTATAGAAAATCCATGTTATAAAAAAGACAAAACACCTTCACCCGACATTATATACTTACAAAAAATAAAAGACGCGTCTCAACTGTACAACGAGGTTTCCCATTAATTCTCAGACTACATAGAAAACAACGTCCACCAGGTTAGGGCTCAATTTTATCATAATTAGTTCAAATTTCAAAAGCTACTTAAATTAGAATTAAACCTCTTAACTAAATGGTTGTAAAATCTATCTTAGAATACGATAGTAGTATTCGGTTGGTAGATATCACGTTTCACAAGTGTTTGATTCTCAATTTTGAGAAACAATCATGAAAAAAGAAAGTTAAACAAAAGAAAATAAATAAAAAAAAGGTTTAAAGCCGATAATATATACGTATAATACCAACAAGTAATTAGTATGTATGAATTTGATATCCAATTTCTTCGAATTCATATTATTTAATTATATATTGAATATTATTTGATTTATATTCTATAGTTTTTGTTTTTAGAAGAATTTCATTTAATTACAAATAATACACTTATGATTAAAGTTGAATCAACTTTCGGTTTAAGATTGTCTCTATCTGGCCGGCCAAAGTATAAGGTTGGGCAAACCTTTGCTTTATGCATTCTCATTTTTGTAAGGCTTCTATTTTTTTTTAATTACTTTCACTCACTATAAATATGTCAATTCTGACCAAGATTATAATTAATTAATCATTAATTTTAATTAAATAAATCATTTTTAACTAAATTTTGTTCACATTCTTAAATTAACAACACCTTATCTTAAAATTTGTTTTAGCCTTAAAAATATGTTGTGCCCGCTTGGTCTCTATTATAGGGATTTGGCCTCAAGTCTTGGAACCCTTGAAGACTTTTCCCTTGTGGTATTTGCTCTTGCAGGCTTTATATATTATATCTCTAAGTAAATATGCTTGATTGAATGAATAATAGCCGATTAGTTTTGGTTTATCGTGTTTTAAACAGGGTCTTTTTTGTTGTTCAATTAAATAGGATCTTGTTAAGCACGAGTTAGCATTTGCTAATTGATATCCTTGCAGATTTTACCAGAAATATGCCCAATATTTAACTAGATGAAGTTTGACTTAAAAACTCCAAGGAACTAAATTTTTGTGCTGGACAATGCAACCAAAATGTTTAAAAAAACAAAGAGTTATTATTGTTATCATTAACAAAATCATGTAAAATATTTGTACATTTTGGGACCTTAGCAACTTCACAAATTAGTGATGAAGCAGAGGGGACAAACATTTTTACTTGTACAGTTTTTCCCTCTAAGCTTGAGAGACAACATTCTGAAGACATCTGAATGCCTTTTGATAATTAAAGAACCCCATGAACCAGAAATCGAAATCATCCACAGTAACTATTTCTATGTACTTTTGTGAAGGCTTCTCCTCATTCTGACTTTTGTTGACACACTTTATCTTTGTAAGGGGAATCGAGACCTGAAATGAAATATTAAAATATAAGCAAAGTCTGAAGAGAGATTATGGAGATAGATATATATTAGCATTTGCATAAATTTTGTTTTATGAAAGTTACCTTATAACGAACTCTAACATCTTCTCCGTTTGTGGAAGAGATTTTGATGGATCTATCACTGCAAAAAGCAACTTTATGAGTGGATATGAAGAGAAGGCCAGCTATAGGACCAGATGTGGTTGATAAGTAGCATTGTGATGCTTTCAACAGCTTCTCTCCTTCTCCAACACTAAACAGTTGCATAAACACTTTCTCTACTCCACCAACCTGAAGAATTTTTGCTCCCATACTCAATTTCCCTTTCACCGTGTCTGTTATCTTTGGCCCAAGATTCACTGCATGTTACAACAATCATGTCAAATTATGACAGAAATGTTTGCTTTGCCATATAGTTCTATGCCAAATTGTGCTTGTTCTGTCTTGTAAAAGTAAAAATAATAATAAAAGATTTTAAAGATTATATACCATGCTCTCGAACTCGTTGTAAGAATCCGGATTTGTGATGAAAGGGTGTTCTACTTTGTTTTGATTTGGTGATAGATTTGCTGTATTTGCCACAAGAATCAGGCAAATATCTCTTTGATGACTTCCCAACATGGAATGCTGAGGTGACAGAAATTCCATTAGCCAGCTCATGAACAAGTGATCCCTTCATTTTGTTATCTTTCAAAAGTTTTCCTTCTATCTCTGGACTTGGAGGGTCTTCTTGAAGCTTGTGAATGAGCTCTCAACACCTTGGTTGATGAATGCTTGTGTTCTCCAAGAAGGGTATAAATATTGCCGAAAGGAAACAAGTTGACTCCTGACTTTTTGGTGGATGAGTCAGATATGGATCATCATGAAGACTAAACGGGAAAAAGTAATTCAATGTTTGAAGATTTGCATGTTCGGTTGCCCCATAGAAAAAATATTGAAAAAAGAAAGATGTACTGTGTATATTAATTAAAGAATTGAAGGTAACTTTATGATTCTAAAAGATGTTGATTCTGCTGAATTTAAATATAAAATCTCTCCATATATAAACTTTGGAATGTGATGGTTAGACTTAATGGTTTAGGTGCCTGCCTGTTACTGCTTATCTTGAGACCATAGGTTTTGGGTATTGACTCAAGCCTCTAGGTTGGCTATTGGTTTGGATTGTGCCTATCCTTATGGATGTACATCTGTGATTTCCACGATTTATTGATAACTTTTTATTATATATCTAAATACAGGTATAATGTTGTCCTCACGTTTACTATTTCTGGCTCAAGGTTTTTGTGTATGCAACTAAAGGGAAAGAAAATAAGAACAAAATCCATCTAACTCAATATAAGAAATTAGAGGGAATAAAATCACTCAGGGCAATTTTTCTGGACCCATAATTAATTAGGGAAAAAATAATAACAAGCAACTGTTTAGCTTTTTGGAAATGCCACCCTTTTGAAAATGGGAGGAAGAAAATATAGTAATATGTATTTTGGTTTGTTGGGACAATGCCACGTGCATGATGACAAAACACGTCTATTGCCACTTTATTTTATTCATGAATGCAAATGTAAAGGTGTCATTTAAGCTTTCTGAGCTGGAATTTCACCTTTCTGATGCCACACCTCTCTAAGTTTTACTATTATTAGATAAAGTAAAGAGGAAAAAGTTGCCGTCTAATGCCTGCTTTTAATTTATATATTTCCAGTCCTAAACGTGAGAACTAACATTAATTGACTCTGCATATTTTATGACTGGTGTTAAATTAATTTTTTAAAAAGGATATGATGAATTCTTTGGTCCATTCTAGAGGAAGAAAAATTCTCCCTCCATGAAAATCATAACTATCAAAATCAGATGGGTTTCTCTAACTTTTCAAGTCATATCACACATACATAACAATAGAGAAAGATCCTCATTTTGGAGGACAAAATAATTTTCACCCTAATGTAGTTTAATTAATTAACAGAAACATATAAGCATTCACTAATGAAACCCGTTATGGTGCCTTAGTGGGTGAAAAGACTATCATAAAGTGAGTTTAGCTAGATGTCAGTGCTATGTTAGGGTTTGAGAAAAAAAAAAAAAATGACATGACAATGGTACATGACATAATATACAAATTGTTTTAGGTTAGACATGGAAGTGAAGGATGAATATCTAATTTCAGAAATGGACATCATGTGCTACAAGCAGTATAGGAGAAGACATACCTCAATGTTTTGTGGAAAAGTAAATGGCCAAATCATTCCCACATCATCCCCAAGCCCCACACGGAAAGCTCACACTTGAACTTCCTTCATCATACCTTAGTTGGCTTTACCTAATTAATAAGATGAATTAATGTTGTGATCCTGAAATTTGAGGTTAATGATTCAATTTATTAAACTATAGTACTTTTAATGAAGGTATTAAAGTAACTTCAATAACAACTCTATATCAATGTATTAGAAACTTGAAAAGTAAAATTTTAGCATTAGAATAACTCTTGAGGTTCTATTTTTAGAAGTAGGATTTTTGAAAAAGATCTAGTTTTTTCTCGTTATACGTCCATATTTCAAAATATATTATTAAAATATGAAATTTTGTGCCTTTTTATGTTTAACAAATATATGGTAGGGCTCATTTAAGAAATTTTAGTGAATTTCTTAGTTGAAATAAAAAGTTAATCGAGTTATTTAAAATAAATAATGAGACATATATCGTAGAGAACTGAAATATTATTAGAAAAAAGTACAAGAGAAATTTCGGTTGAGTTTTGTTGGAGAGGTGGTTCTGATTTATGACAATTGGTGTTAAGTTGTGAAGATGTGGGATTGATTGAAAGAAGACGAAATATGTGGTTGAAGTTGTGAAAGTGGGTACCTACTAATGGTTTACAGGTATAAGAAGTTATCATTGATACTGTAAGACCCTTATCATGTACCCACAAAATTAACTTTTCTGCCCCACAAGCCCTTTTCAGTAACCATTTCTAGCACATGAATCCACACTGTCTTGTTCCACTTGCTACATCCTCCCTCGTACTAAGTAAAAATGAAATAAAAAATTATCTATATTTCAATTTCTATCCTTTTGATAGTAGCATTCTTTTCCTTCTAAGATAGGAAAAAATTAGAAAGAAAAAGGGAGGGTGAGGAATTCATTTGTTTTACATTGCAAAATCATATGTATAGATTATTTTCATTTTACACATGCCCACCCGTCCCGTGATATCATTTAAAAATCAATTCCTCAATATAAACATTTTTTTATATTTATTATTTGCATTAATATCCTTTAATTTCTTGTAATAAAATTAGATGGCTACATATGTATAGGTTCCATCAAAATATTTAGCGAGTTTAGCACATGAACATGATCAACCGAAAATAAAAAAGCATGCAGAAAGTATATAAAAGTATAAGTTTCATCAACTGTTTTCTTAATAATGACTATAAAAAATACCAAAAGATATATTTATGAAAAAAGATTATGTATCTACCTTCTTTTCACTTTATGAACAACAAAATGCTGTCATAATAGAGAATGATATTTAGCGAGTTTAGCACATGAACATGATCAACCGAAAATAAAAAAGCATGCAGAAAGTATATAAAAGTATAAGTTTCATCAACTGTTTTCTTAATAATGACTATAAAAAATACCAAAAGATATATTTATGAAAAAAGATTATGTATCTACCTTCTTTTCACTTTATGAACAACAAAATGCTGTCATAATAGAGAATGATATATATATATATATATATATATATATAT